TATTTTCTTGTTGTGGTCTGCATGGAAAAATATTTCTGGAAATTTTTGGAATGTAGGTAGTCTGCTTTTATCATAAACAAATTTCAATATCTTACCCACCCTCAATTCAAATTTAATATCTTCAAATACAAGAACCCTTGGTATCCTGCATTAATTCAGTAATTTTCTTAATTTTCTCAGTATTTCAGTATGCAATATAAATTATATTCTTTCCTCCTGAACTAACTGAAATAATCAGAATCAGTTAAGATGCATTCTATCAAATTAGAGTATTTCAAAGGAATGCATTTAAACTGATTCAGTTCAGTGTTAGTGAAATATTTCAAACACAATCATTAAACTCACACTGAAATATGAAAAATAAACAAATGTAAAAGTCCATATTATTTTCAAGTGGAGAAATTATGAAGATGCAAGCCTACCTACTCAAAATTGGGGGGATATAGAGTATGCTTGCTTCTCCATTATATGGAAATTACTTAGTAAAACCACAACTATAGATCACAAATCAAAGATAATTGATTGGATCTACTAAGAAAAGTATCAAAATGTGAATATTCCATTTTTTTTACCTTCTCCTTCGATTTCCTCATCGTCGCCCTCGGGAATTTCGTCTTCCCCCGTGTCCTCTTCCTCCACCTCCTCTTCTTCTTCATCTAATTCCTCTCCTTCTGAGGTCACGCCATTCTCTTCTTTTCTCACCTTTTTGGGCTCCTCTACTTTTTCCTACAGTGACAATAACAATTTTCTCCAATGTAGTTATTTTGTATTATTGGAACAATAAATATAATTATAAAAAAGTTGATAATTTCTACTGCCCTACTGGATATTGTTTTAAAGTAAAAATGAGAAATTAGTCATCCCAGTATTCCAGGTAAAATAGCATACCCGCCAAATATTCAGGGTGCAATTGAGGGTAAGCACCTTTCAATACCTATCTACCTGGTATAACCTATTCAAATCATATAGGGGAGTTCTTAGAAATCAAAAGTGAAACTCAGATCAAAATGGTAAAGGTGAAATTTAGAGAACTAGAACTGTTGAGGAATCTATTAGAGAAAATAGATAGGGGGATGAATAAAGAAATTATGAAGAAAACTACACATCTAACAGTTTGGACCAATGAACAGCCCATATTTTGTGTCAAACACATTTCTGTATCTTTTTTTTTATGTTTATAGGTGAAATGCCATTTAAATCAAACTACCCATTCTTGTTTCAAACACCCCTATAAGTGAATAGGGAAACTTATAGATAATAGCCCACTTATGAACAGATCAAATGAGTAATACACAATACACACACTATTACTCATTGTAGTGTTTTTTAATCAATATATTTACAGTCCAATTAAAATAACCTATAAACATAAAATATGTAGTTATCAACCAATTATGATCAATTCAGAAAAATGTACAACAATCATCAACAGTCAACTTTGATTAGGGTGGTGAAATTAATAATGGAATTTTGAATTGAAAAGAACCAAACTGGTAGATACTGGTTCTTCAGTTCATAATCTTTGATGGATAAAACAATTGCTCAACAATTTTTAGGTAGGTAGGTAGGTAGGTACTAAACCTACCAAATATAAACTCCAATGAGATGCCTATTAAATACCTGCCTTCACTTGAAAAATCATGAATTGATGAATGATTTTTCAGTTCATACCCATTCCATGAACGAATTAATTTCAGATGTCAATTACCTATCTATGCAAGTGAATTTTAAATTATTAGATATTCAAAGGGAATTAAATCTCCACATCTTTATCAAGCACCAGCACCTGCCAGACGAGACCGGAAGTGAAACAAACGAAACAAGCTTTCCGGTAGAGAGCCCTCAACAATCATTTTCTGGAAAGATGGCCGGCGATGACATTTATTTATGCTATATGCCTGAAATTTAATAATAATTCTCCCCCTGTCTCTTTCTAACGCAAGCAACAAATAAGACATATCGTTGATCAATGCTGAAAATAAACAGAATCACGAGCAGAATCATAAAGAAAAAATTCGATGTCAACCCTCCCACATGGCGGCGGGATTCTAGGAGACAATAATTAAAAAGATCATTTCAAGGAAAAGGCGGTCGATCTAGACACCTCCGAAAATCATCACTTGTTTACTTTCCAGAAATAAACGCGCGCAAATCTAGAACGGAAACTCACATTTTCGACGTCATTCGTAAAAATTCATAATTACCGGTTATTTTGTTGTAAAAACATAACAATATTAAGGCGGAAAATATCGATAATGATTATAATGAAAACGTGATAGGTATACGTTCACTCACAATCCCAATTCACAATGTATATGATTGATATAAAATGCGCCTAGCCTCCCGCACGGGTGCCACAGGCGAGCTACTATTGATTTCGCCATATTGAATCTAGCAAGCTATGCTAGCCTCGTCGCAGGGTACGCCAATAACTGGCGGGATGCTACCTGACCCAAACAGAATTTATAATAAAAAAAAAGAAAAATCGACAAAATTGAGATTCAAAATAGAAACTATTAAATTCGTATTGGCAGTAAAATATCAATTTGGACTGTTGCCCTTTTGAAAGATATGGGCAGATTGATGAACTGATGCAAATGAAAACGGCGTGGTTGGATCTCACATGGCAACAAGCTTCTTGGAAAATTAATTCGTAAAATTACTACGAATGCATTTATTGGACAATGCCAGTGTGCCAAGCAATGACTATGACACTGTATTGTTCCTATAAATTACACAGATCACAGATGCGTATGTATCGAACAAAAAGTCAGGGAACATTCAAAAACAAAATAATGAATATTAGAAAAATGCAGTATACTTACTTCCGCCGCCCTCTTCGTTCCTTTCACTGCTTCCTTAGCTTCTGAACTTTTTTCGCTGTCTAATTTTTCAATTGCAACTTCGTTATTTTCTTTGGAACTCATTTTGTTTATGTTTTTGAAGGAGATCGATTCGACTTGTGACGATCAAGGTTCGAAACACTACTGACCGGCTCGGCGCTGGCTTTGTTCAAAATCTAAGATGGCGCCCCTCGACCCGAAAGGAATCGGCGATTACCGATTGGCCGGCTTTAGCTCGGCGGACGACTTTATTCAAAACGACGCTGGGAAAGGAATTCTAGATTTTTTTAATAATTTTTGATAGCTTTTCCAGGGCGCTAGCGATTGTAGTTTTTTTTAAATTAATTTTGGAAATTTCATAATGAGGGGATCAGGAATCGGATCCGGCGTTTTGATTCGTCGTTTGATCATGATTCTAGTACTTGTATGCGTCCGCTAGGGGCGCTATTCAAAATGAAATTCGCCGCCAAGTTTTACGAATTTTCCGAATTTTCGGAAAAGTCTGCGTCTCACGACACTGACAACTGTATAAAAATCACTTTAAAGTTATTTTTAGAAAGAACAAACATCAAGAAAATCGTAATAACATTCCAGATGGGCTATATCGGATTTTGGAGTTTTTCCCGCCAATATCATGTCAACTAATCATGGCAACTAATAATTATGTACGTTGAGATGATAGTGGAATTAGTTTTAATGAACCATTAGTAAAATATGGAGACAGGTCATTTGAATTTATATTTTTTTGGCGTTTGATACAACCTATATAATTCCTAAACCAATTGAGGAGATGATATAGGTATGCTTATTGGGCTACCTTATTTCGTGTTCAATGGCTTCTCTTCATTCATTATTCATCTATTCTTCATTTCGATAGAATTTATTGCTGAAATGCTGAACAATTATTGACCACCAAATGGTGAAGATTTTGTAATAACCTACTATTCTTTGGTAATACCATCGAAAGTCGTTGTTCGATGGTAATCTCACATCTCACTTTAGGCATAGGGAGGAATTAAAAACAAACAGGTAAGATTTTACGAACAGAGTTCAAAACAGAGATCATTTAATTAGTTTTCCAATTATTCATGTCCCCATCGGCTCAATCCGATAGGTACTTTTTCTTCATAGGCAAGTAATAAATTATAATTTGTACCTAATCATCATTCGCCCAATTCATCGCCATTTTTTTAGTTCTTTAATATTTATTCTTTATTTAGTCGCAGCGCAACTCACAGATGCTTCTAGAAAAGTGCATCTTTCTCTTTACAGTCTTTATTAGAAAGAGACGGATGCGGACGATGGCCACTGGCGGAAGCGTTGCGAATGAGGAGAATTCAACCCCCTTCCCTCAATTCCCCTCGCCCAGATATCGGAATTTCGTAATCGTAATGTCGTAACCAGCCAGCATACTTCAAGATATCTTCACAGTCTAAGTAAAAAGTAGCCAACGGCAGAATATTCGAGGTGTTAGAAGGTGAGACATTGAGCTTTGAGCCTGTCGAGCTGTCGAGTTAGTTGAAGTAGGGAGTATATAGGCTATGCTCGTTCAACAAAATGAAGGTCCTTAATTTTCTAGTGTTTGTGTTCATCAAAGATGATCAAAGCTTAGAACTTAGAACAACGTGTTCCTCATTTATTTCTTCGCTATCAACTACATATTATATGAAGGATATTATAGATGTATTTTAGCATGTGCAGTAATAAGTTAGCACAGTTTAAAGAATAATATATATGTAATATTAAGAATCATGGTGAAATTGAGCCATTCTTGAGTTTTGAAAAGTCATTTTTTGAGTGTTTTATTCAAGACCTTAATGCATAGCTAATAATCTAATTGCCTATATGTATTGTGTTAATCAATTAACTAGTCGTTATATCAACTTTCCAAGTTAAGACGGCTGAATGAGAATAATACCTACCTAAGTACCTACTGAAAAAATAAAGTGTGAATGTGAAAGACAAAGATAGTAGGAACAAAAATGTGGTGAAATCCGGCAAATAGGAAAAATATTTCTAGGTCACATGATAATGTGTTGTAACTACGTGATTTGGTAGAAACAAATGTGAATTTTCTTTCCGCAACATATCGACATCTCTTTCTAATCCTGGAGCGATCCCATTCCATTTTAGAACCATATTTCATTTTATTCGGCGTTTGAATTTGCCGCCGAACAACGAGCATGCTCAAGTTATTTGACTCGATCGTGCTTTGACAGACGTGACGACATATCCTTCTATTTCTCTCTCTTTTCAATCCGTCTCTTTTTAATTCCAACAGTTCTCGGTTCGGGACAAAAATACAAGATGGTGAGTGAAATTTCACTTTGAGGAATCTTCAATCATCTTCAAAATAAACCAATATTTACCAAGTGTTGATATCAAATTCATCTAGGGTGTTCATTATGGTAGTTTTCAATATGTTATTTATCAAAAAATCTTCGTGTTTATTTGATTACAGTGGTTGTAGGTTATGTTTCTGTCAATGTCAATATAACTAAATTATTTATTAATATTATGAAATGAATATTTACTGTGAATTGAGACACAATGAATGATTATTGTACTTCATTAATGTGTATTTTTATTTTAGGTGAACGTACCAAAACAACGTCGTACATTTTGCAAGAAATGCAAGGTCCACAAGCCACACAAAGTGACACAATACAAAAAATCCAAAGAACGTCATGCTGCCCAGGGTAGAAGGCGTTATGACAGGAAACAGCAAGGTTTTGGTGGTCAAACCAAGCCTATTTTCCGTAAAAAGGTAAAGAAATAATCATATATGCATGTTCTCAAAGTTTACATTGTTTTCCTAATTTCAGGCGAAGACTACGAAAAAAATCGTACTCAGAATGGAATGCTCAGACTGCAAGTACCGCAAACAAGTGCCACTGAAGCGTTGCAAGCACTTTGAACTTGGAGGTGACAAGAAACGTAAGGGACAGATGATCCAGTTCTAAGTTCCATACACTGTTAAATTATCTTTAAAAAAATAGACCATCCTTTGTATATAAACTTTGTTTATTCATTTCTCAACAAACATACATTTTTAGCCACCAGTGTTGATTTTGTAACTTATAAATTGAAATTAACTGACAATAAATGGAACAGTTGAACCTGTACAAACAACATCTCCAGTTTTACACATTTAACAAGTTGAAAGAAATAATCATAATTGGTGCTGAAATCATATTATGATGAAAACAATCTTGCCATATCTATAACCTATGGTAGATACAAAAAAAAAAGATATATCAATAATATTGTCTCACATTATAAACATTTGGATAATCCTATGAGATTTTAATATTTTTTTAGGTTCATGTTGATAAAACTAATGTACTTTATCAATTGATCATGCAAATATAGACATGATTATGAATCAAGAGGTTTTCTAAAAATCATAAAACCATTAATATGACATGAAAATATTATTAATATTTGCAGTTTTTTCATTGATTTGACAAAATAGGTTACTCTGATTCATTTTTCAACATTTCTTCTGTTAACCCTGGTATCACATCATCTGGATTACTATAATAAAAAAATGAAGACTGATATTAAAATAAAAGCACCCAGAATCAATATTTAGGACACCATACATATTCAAGATCAACAATTAATTTCTAACCATCAAAATAATACCTCAATGAAATCAATTCATGGAAGTTATTTAAAAAAAGAAAAGTACTTACTCTAATATCTCAGGATCAGCACCTTCATTTTGCATCTTCAGTCTCACTGCAGGTGCAGGCACTCCAAACTGCAGCATTTTGAAAAACTTTTTGAACCTAGGATCCTCTTTGGCCTTGACCCCATGCTGTTCCACAATGACAGGCTGGGTGGACTCTCTATGATCCCCAACAGGAGAGTCATCTCTTGTTTCCACTTCAGGCAGATCTAATTTAATGGTTTCATCTGGTATATCAATTGCAATTGGGTCATCCTCAATTTTAATATTATCCAAGCCTGGTATTGATGAGAGCTATGAAAAACACAAGTGATGGAAAAACTACATTCAAAATGTTCAAATAACTTGTTCCCAGTATCAACACAAATGGAATTGATATCATTGAGGCTGGAGGCTCAAAAGTGAAAGATACTTACTTGTGACTCTAGTATAAGCAGGGAAGCTTCAATCTTCTGCATTTTGTATTCAAATTCCATGAACCTTGATTCACAACTTTGGGCAAAAGAGTTCAGATGGGACACAGTGTCCATTATAAAATGGTTTATAAAGGCTACGGTACGTTTCTGTTGTATAGGCAATATCTATTTGGAAAATTGAAATTGCTCATTAGCTTCTTCAAAACGCACAGGGGGATTATGATAATTGAATGGGATTTTTTTTCTGGTTTAAAGAAAACTCACCCTATAACTCACCTTTGTAAGATCTTCATTTGGATCTATAGCTGGAAATTCATCTACTTGCATTTTTCGAAAAACATGGAGAATTATGATAATGATATTTTATATTTACTTTATATTCTTATATTTTCCATAATAAAAATATAAAAAAGAAACGTCAGAAACTTACAATAACAAAATAAAAGACTGACAATGACAGATTAAACCTCAAATTCTTATTATTTGTTGTATATGGCTTTAGCGGCATTTGACGAGAATGTAATTGAACAGCAACAGGCCAGTGACAAGTTGACAAGTATAATCAACGCCAGGTCAGGATCCAGGAACACAACCGCAGGAACCCGCAAAACATTTTTTTTTTTCAGGTAAGCCTTTTAATGATCTTGGCATTTTTGTATCGAGTACCGAGGATGCCATGCTGCATTCGGAACGCCCGATCTTTATCGGCATCGGCATGTATCGACTTTATCGACTAGAGTCACTGTATCGACTAACGAGAGATTCGATTCAAAAGATTCGAGAGTTCGACAATACAGGCGTTTTCGGAAACCTACTCGGGTTGTTGACTCGATCTGAAGGGGTCACGTGATGGATCAGTCGGATCACTTATCCTTATACTATAGTTTACGAACTTATCAGGTTACTATTTTATTGAGTTAGCTTTATACCTCTTCGAATAGAACTTCTTGATTTTTTACAGCTGTATGCAATTTTTTCAGTTTGCTACGAAAGCGTAGAAGGGTCATCCAAAATAAAAGAATAAAAGGAATTATTGCAACTTGTAACGTGTAGCAATTCAATTACTACAACTTACAACTCGCAATAATTCAAAATACTGCAACATACAACTTGCAGTAATTGAATTACTGCAACTTACAACCTGCAATAATTTGATTCACTGCAACATATAACTAACAGTAATTCGAAATAATGCAACATACAACTAGCAGTAATTCAAATCACTGCAACTTACAACTTGCAGTAATTAAAGCACAAAACAGGTTGAGAAGAAGATTAACTGAGGTTAACTCATAGATCAACTACTCTGTAAACTTAAATACCAGCTAGATTCCATTATTAACACCGTATAGAAGTTTACCATCAAAAGCTTGGATAGCATCCACCTTGTTTTGATATTTTTATACCTTTACAGGGGCAATTACATAGGTACCTAATAGAATGGATCAGGATGAGTTGGTTCAATTTTATGGCGTCGTTTTGCATTGGAGCATGTCTCGTCTCAGAGGCAGAGACCCAGAGAGCAGAGACTGTGCGTGAAACGCACGGTTACTTCTCTTCGACTTCTGACACCTCATTTTCTGTTCTGTGTCTGTGTTGACCTGCCAAAACCCGACAAGGCTTTCCAAGGCCAAGTGCTAATACTGGTTAGAGGAGTGTTAGAATTACTGCGAGTTGTAAGTTGCAGTGATTCGAATTGCTGCTAGTTGTATGTTGCATTATTTCGAATTACTGCTAGTTATAAGGTGCAGTGATTCAAATTACTGCAAGTTGCATGTTGCAGTATTTCGAATAACTGCAAGTTGTATGTTGCAATATTTTGAATTATTGCAAGTTGTAAAATGCAGTAATTGAATTACTGCATTTTTTTATTTTCGATGACCCTTCTACTCTTTCGTACATTTCTCTTTCCACAGAAAAAAAATCAAGGTAGTGCTAGGCACAGCTAGTGCGAGTTTCCGTCTGCCACGCCGGAGGTCCCGAGGTCAGTTCTCAAGAAGTTCCACTTTTTTATTTATATATTTTTCCATTGTCATCTCAAGTGAGTTTTCGGAAAATATACTTCATAGACAGAATGTTAATTTAGGCCGCATTAATCATTACGTTTGCTAATTCAATAAACGCAGGAATAGTATATCGATCAGGATATCGGATGCTCATTTTGCAATAGAGCTCGAATAACGTGATATTCCCCGAATGCAGTGTACTGGGTGCTTGATACAGAAATGCAGTCCAATTAGCAAACTGATTTTTGCTCAGGCAATATATAAATAAAAGAGCATGCTATAGAAAAAGGGCTATAATTTTATGATTACCATGTGATGTAAATATTCAAAGTTGTACGCACAATAATTATGTAAACACATTTCTTTTGTTTTCTGTAATGCCGTGTTGAGTCTATGAGCCCAACTCCAATAAAATTATGAATTGATACTCCGCACATTTCACATCTTATTTCTCTTTTGGTTGATCTTTGGTTAAGGTGAACACTGACGGCGGTTTAGCGATAGAACTGACAGCACTCGTGAGATTACTATATTGTGACAGAAATCCGATACTCGTTTGGGAAACCCTGCCATTTCTAGAACAAAGATTCATATGATTAGGAAGTCATTGAGTGATCGAAAAATTCCATCTTCACACAGTTACCTACCTATTTACAAAATGCGAAGATTTTTCAATAGTTTAATTTTTCATGACTCAAGTGTGTATACTACCCAGCCAACACAGATAAATCTTTAAGACATCGCTGCGGTGTCACTTTGTGACCTGCGGCTTGCATCGTTACGTCGCACTGCCGTCCCAGCGACTCACATTTCTCACAAGTGCAAGTTCTGTCAGATTGCTGTCAGATGACCTACCCTGGAGGTAAAACATTGAAACACAACCTCACTTTGCATACGAATCGTATTTTTATGCTATTTAGCAATTCAAGCATGCCATCTCATTCTGCTGTAATACAATACACAAAAAATAAAGTGATATACGAAGAAATTCGGTGTTTCAGGTAGGTTCATTGTGATCTGAAATAAGTACTATTAGACCTGATGTTCCTTTATGCTTGCTCTACCTGCTAAACTTAATTATTTTCTATGACTTTATCTGTTTACATCATGCTATGAACAGAAACAACAATGGGAAAAAATCAACTTCAGTAAGTTCAGCATCTCTGGTTCAGCAATACAAACAAACAGGCCTATATACATATATTGGAGTTCCTTCTGCAATAAGGCCTGTTCGTTTGTGCTTGCTCAACCTGCTAAACTTGATTTTTTTCAATGACTTTCTTTGTTTACATCATGGCATGAACAGAGACAACTATGGGAAAAACGTTTCTAAAAGAAGCCAAGAAGATTGGATTCATGCAATCAAACGGTAAACTGGTCTGTCATGCTGACGATCTAATAGGAAATGACAAAATTTCATAATGAAAACCATGTGACATCGCTATTTTTACCTGAAAAATCATATTCCTTCGTTTCTCGCATCATTGTTGTGCATTAATTGTAAACAGCACAATGTGATGACATGCTTGAATTAATGAATAGCCTGAAAAACACGATTCGTATGCCAAAATATTTTATGAAAAACTATTTCGATCCTTTGATTCCTTTGCAAACAAGTAAGAAAAGTAAGGTTGTGGTTCAATGTTTCACTGAAATGTGAGGTTGTGTTTCCAGTTTTAATGTTTCACCTCCAGGGTCGGTCATCGTGCACGCGACCTATTTGTTTACACAGGAATAAAAGGATTTCATTAGTTTTTCACAATATTCTGGCACATTATGAATGCACAAAAAATGCAGCTATAGAGACAAAGGAATATGATTTTTCAGGTAAATAAAGTGATCTCACATAGCTGTCATAACGAAATTTTGTCATTTCTCATTAGAATTCCTTCTGCCACTTTCTGCAATAGAAGCTAATAATACTGCTAAAATTGTAAAAATACATACGATCATATTTCGTCAGCATGTAAGACCAGTCGGAGGACCAATGAATGATTCCAATCATCTTGCCTTATTTTATAAACTTCACAAGTATTTCTATTAGCTCCTATTGCAAAAGAAATTCCAATTTTTTTTCCTTTGAATTGACTCGGCCGTTACTTGATGAAAATCCATGGCAAATGTAAAAACATCACAAACGATAAGATTTCCACAAAATTCTGAAACACACGACATGCTGCTACTGTGTTAACGGGTGATCCCAAACACTTTCTTGGGAAGTGAATATAATTCCGGTGACAATCCTTTGTGACATTATTAATGAATGAAAAAAAAAAACGAAAAGGCGGATCCAATATGGCGGAAGATTTTGGTTACTATGGTCCGATTCGATGCAAAATTGGTACCTAGGTATGTATCTATATAGTTTTTTGGGGCTAGAGATTATGATTCTCTTGTCCATAAATTGAAGAATACATTCACGTTATTTTATCATTTCTGATAGACGACCAGAAATTCAAGTGTTGTGAAGTGCTATCTTTCTTGAAAACTAATCAAATCGCTAAATAATGGGAGATGAAATGAAGTCCAATGAAGCCGAATAACATATCAACCTCAAGATACTCGGACAGGATAATGCTGTTGTACAATTCAAAGTTAAAAGGCATACTCCCCTTAGGATGCTGATGACTGCTAGTAGTAATTCAGATTCGATGGAAACCCCATAATGACACAGGCACCCCAACATCTTTAGACATGGAAGAAGGTGACACTATCGAAGTTTACCAACAACAAACTGGTGAGTTTTGTTTAAACTAATTTGAAGGATAACGCAGCATATGACGTCTCTAGCAAGTGAAGAACTTGACATCGCAGAGATATCTAAATCCAGCTCTCACCAATTTAGATATCATAGGGATGTCGCAGTGGGATATCACAATAATGACAACAATATGACATCGGAGGGATATATCTATATCCGGCTATATTAATGATTTTGATATCTGAGGGGTTTCGCGGTGTTATATCGCAGTAATGTCAACGATTTTATATCGCAAGGACATCTAAATCCCATATTTAACGGTATATTGACATCCCTGAGAAGGTGATGTTTGCCCTGTGTTGACTAAGTATAGTTAGAGTCACTAGATGGTATTAGTTTGATTATATTATAGTAATACCATCAAGTGACTCATGGTATAGTCAGCTCTGTAGACCCTCCACTCCACAAAGAATAAATGAGTGTGATCCATTATTCAATCCCAATAGGAACCATTTCTTGCTTAATAATATACACTAAAATATGTAGTTATATAGGAATGTACTCACATATTTGTAGGAGAATGCAGTGTAGATATTTCCGGCACATTTATATCTAGGATTGCGGAAATCCAGTCAGATTCCTCTCCGGGCAACTAAAGAAAAAACATTGGCCATATATATCAATAATAATTCATATAGGGTCCAGAAAATTATCGATCAAAAACTTGTACATAGAGAGGTGAATACTAACGGTACCTACTCACCATCATCTCACTCCTCCACTTTTTCATGTAATCGATTATGGTTTCGTCTTTTCTACTCTTCATTTTATTGTCTACAAGCCACGGGTGCTTCAAGATTTCTAAGGCGGTAATTCTTTTGACTGGATCTTTGAGTAGAGTGGATTTCAACAAATCGATACAGTCGCTATTGACTTGGGACACTGAATATTCCGGTTCAGTGTCACAAATTTTCTGCACAAGATGTTCGTCATTCTTAGCGTAAAATGGATATCTGAGTTAACAAGAATAGATATTTTGTTACTATATATTATTATGATAAGCCTGAATTACCTGCCAAAAAGCAACATAAACAAAATAACTCCTATTGCCCAAACGTCACACAACTCGCTATAAGTACGGGATCTTAATATTTCTGGGGCTATAACAAAATATTCGTTAAATTAAACTCAGTAGGGAACTCATCGGTGTAATCATGATAATATGATCGTGTTCTTACACATATAAATTATAGTGCCAACTCTGTCGCTGAGCATACTTTGGATTCCATAACCTGATTTGATGATGCTCAAACCAAAATCAGTTAATTTTATGAAATACTCATCGCTTGGATCATCTATATTATCTGCTAATAGAATATTTTCCATTTTGATGTCGCGATGAACGATATCTGGAATAAATATTATCAGATCATAAATATTTCTACCGATTTCTTACGACTCTCCGCCACTGCAGAAACACAGAACATAAGATTTCTGCAGAGAAATCATAAAACTCATATTATATTCTTGTGGGTTCTATGATAGGAACATTATATGTTTTGTGCAATTTTGTAGCGGGGATTTGGATTCAAAAATCTTATTATTGATATCCTTGACTTGAACCTAATACTGTTGAAAGCTATATTCACCATGTTTGTGGAGGTAATAAACGGCACCAACTAACTGCCTCATAATTTTGCGACTAATTTTTTCAGTGAATGGTTTGAATAAGTTATATTTACAAAATAACGTCTCTCTACATCGCTCGAAGACCATGTAAATTTTTTTAGTCGATTCAAATACTTTCTCCAAAAGAATAATATTCGGATGCAAAACCGACTTGAGTATTTTTATTTCTCGCTGGGTTTCCTTCAGTTTTGCAGCGCCCGCCTTGAAATGAAATGTAACAGAAGCTAATATTGATTTCATCAGGGCTACTCACCGAATATTTGTTCACTATCTTGATTGCATATTGAGCGTTGGTTTGTTTTTCTATAGCAGAAACTACGATCCCAAAAGTTCCGTGGCCTATTTCCTCTTTGAACTCGAATATCTCGTAGAGGTACTTCACATCATCAATCCTAACGTGTCTAACATCTCTTTCCTTTAACGATGAGGTGCGCTGTAGTTTACTGTGTTGAAAACATATATAATACTTGCACTGAGAACAAAATATTATGATGAATCGCAAATACTCACAAACTATTTTCGTCTGAGGTAATCATTGAAATATTCGGAGGGAAATTCTGCTTTGACGTTTAAATTTCAAATCACCATTTTGTCGAAAAATAGTACCTTATGAATAGTGTTTTATAGGCCCATAATGCCCAAGGATGAAGATCCTGACCTGCTGTCGGGAAGAAAGAAGAATGAGAAGAAGATCTGAGATCATCAAAAATCCGTCATTCAGTAATCAGTACTGTCACTGTCAACTGTCATAACAAAAAAGGAACGATTGTTTTGAGGGGGAGGGTTGTGAGAGATAAAAGGATAGTGTATGAATGTTTATTGATGTTTATCTCAAATTTATTACTTTATATTTATATGGTATGGAAAATGCAAAACTTTTATTATATCTCAATATCTTACTTCAAATGTAGTGGTATTTTTCGTCGTCGTTTTTAGTACTTAGGAATTAATCATATCCATAATGTTCGTTAGAGACCCTTGTGGGATAGTTTGTATCCTTGTAACGTATTTAGCTGTATTTTACGCTGATTATGTTATCATACAATGGGTTGTTCTTCAGACTATGGTCGACAGGTAACAATCAAAGATTTTATTATTGTAGTTGTTGAATATCCTCTCAACTGTCTTTCAGCTTGTGGGGTACATTCAATGTGGTCATGTTCAACACTGTCATATTCATGTTAATTATTGCACATATTAAGGCAGTAATCACAGATCCAGGAACCATACCACTTCCACAGACCAGGGTGGATTTTTCTGATATACATTCCTCAGAATCTGGTAAAAGAATTTTCAATCCCCAAAATATTCATGCACTGATGAACACTGTGATTTTCAGGCTGTGAGTTTGTGAATTGGACTGCATGTGTGAGATGTGAGACTTACAGACCTCCAAGGGCTCATCATTGTCGAATTTGCCAAAGGTGCATTAGAAGGATGGATCACCATTGCCCTTGGATTAACAACTGTGTGGGAGAGAGGAATCAAAAGTACTTTATTCAGTTTTTAATTTATGTAGGTGAGTGATACTTATTGAATGATTTCCATGTTCCTTCTTTTGTGTGTTGGAATTTTTTATGATTTGCTGTAGACTTATAATGCAATAAAATGTTTCACAATTACCATTTTATTGTTGAATACTGATAGGTTAATTGGTTAATTATTGTATTGATGTTTACTTTGTACCTTTATTCATATAAGACAATAGAATTTTATGATTTCTCATGGTTACATACTTTTTTTTCAGGTGCTTTATCAATTTATGCAATTACTTTAGTAGTAGTGTCATGGATGAAGGAGTGCAAAGACTGTTCCCAAGATATTCCATTGAAACAAACCAGGATGTGAGTATCAACACATTACATTCAGTACATGTTGTACCTTCTCAATCATTCATTACTTGAATTATTGATTTTTCATCATCTTTGTAATTGATATTCAATTTGTTTAGTGTAATTATCTGTATTATTGTAATTCATTGAAAAAGTTTCATAGATAGTTTTGAAGTTTGTTGGGTTCAAAGCTATAATCAGGTGAAAAGTTTGGCTCTGGAAAACTGGAAGTTTTTTTTACAGTATGCACAGCATAATACTCCTACTTGAAAGTGCTTTGTTTGGGATGTTTGTGACCGCCATTTTGGTTGATCAGCTTCAAGCCATTCTCACTGATGAGACAGCTGTGGAACAGGTAATAGCAATATATGGATAAAGATCTAGGTTATTATTATACCAAAAGTAGATATCAATTTGCCTATTTCAAATGGAACACCATGTGTTTCATTCTTAATTTGAATTCTCTATCATATTCTAGGGTCACTCCATATATCAATTCACATTCCAGAAATAGAATATTTAAGGGATATTGATTTTTCTTTGAAAAATTTGGCAGAGTAATAATATTTTTCTAAAAAACATAAACACCTGGACATAAAAATACCAGAAAAAAATTCATAATTTGAAGAAATTCAACAAGTCACTCAGCAGACATTGACAAAAATATTTCTTCAATAATAGCATATAATTGTTATTGATATGTGAAGAATTAAAATAGTGACATTAAATATGAAAAACTTGACTAAAACATTGGAAAGAAAGAAAAATAGTTGGATGTATGATAAATTAATATTCATCATACAGCCAGGAAAGTAGTTCTTTTCTGTTGGAAATACTGAGAGAGAATTACTATTTTCATCAAATAGAGAATGTGAATCCTCTATTCTCAATGTATGTGACAATATTTCTTCTTGAATAAAAAAATCAAACTCATGAAGGTTTGCATAGTACCTAATATTCCATGATAATTTCATTTTCATTGATGCAAATTGACTTTCAAACAAATTTCACTTCTTCTTTCTTATGGAAGTAAAATAGCTGTCTCTGAAGGAGAATATATATAAACAATGAACATTGAAAAACATGTTTATGATGATATTAAACTGAATCTTCTATCAGTGACAATTTTTGCCAAAATTGTTGTTGCCTACATTTTGTGTCCACCCTGTATACCAACCTATGGTTCTTTTTTGTCCTTATGCACTTTTAATTCTGGAAAAAACATTATCTGAAATAGTTGAGGATTGGGAATCACTAGGAATCCCTATCTGCCTTAACAGTTAATGCCTCGGAAGTATTTATTTCACAAAAATTTCCTGAAACAAATGAAAATAAGGGTAGCATCTAGCCATAACTGGCAAATGTTGGGGTTATGCCTTGCTTTATTCTTCTTCTGTTCATAGGCTTTACTAGGATGTTAGAAACTTATCATAGCTATATTCACCCCGTTATTGAGTTTATATGTCTTGTTTACCGCCCCAAGAATTATTAATTGACATAACTCGAAAATGTTGTATAAAGTAGCCACTGGATGATATTAGTTGGATAAGAGTTCGGACACAGAAATGACAACTGTTACCGTTTTTGAATGTTTAAATTCATTATCCTTATTGGGACAAGAAAACCATAGTCGTCCCGCGCTTTTTCATTCAAAATTGCTTGAATTTGACAATAAATACTGTGAACGTCAGAATTTAAATATAATTTCATAAACTATCAAGAAGAAAGCATAAATGAGAATTTCCTGCTGTTTAATGAATGGGCTTATATCAAAAAAAATTTTTATTCCATAATTCGATAGAACTCACCCAAACTAGCACACCACCGCAAACCGTTTCTTGCTGTGATATCCCTATGTTTTATAAAAAATTATTGAAATCCCCGATTTTTCGGACCTCTGGAAACGAGGCGATGATGTGACGTCAAAACCCTAATACTGAAACAAGACTATTCCAGACATAGATGAATGATACATGATTTCTGACAAAGTGAATTAGCGCGAGATCACAGTTGACAGAATTAATATATCAGTTGCCTCAGTCTCCGTCGAGCGTTTGGTATTTTCTTTTAACTACAGCGAAATGAGGTTTCCACGTTTTCAGAAGGAACTATTATTAGTATTATTTATGTCAAAAAATAAAAAAATTCTAGTTAATTTTTCGATCGAATTATGACGTCAATCATTATTTATGTATAAAATGATCATTATAAACATGGTTTGAGTTTAAAGTTCTACTAAGGTGTACACGCCCATTGTGGGCATTCTGAATAGAATGGATTTCATTTATCTGATTCTTCAAAGGAAATATCTACCATTTTATTATGGAAGGGATGTATGAAACGGTCTGGATGAAAAATTAATTTGAAGATGAGTAAAATTTGTGAGGTACTTACATTAAAATTCACTTTTCATAACAGTGGATTAGAATATTGAACTACCGGGTGACCAGTTATATTCTGACCCATTTCAAATGCTTATATCTCTGAAACCATTCAAGTTATCGTTGTGCAGTTTGGACTAGTCGTAATTTTAATATTTTTCAAGTTTTTTTTGACAGGTTCACCTTCTCTCTTGAACTTCCGGTTCTACCGGAAACAAACTAGCCATTATTCAGGTATAGGGCAACTTTTTTATTTCATCGAAGCACCCTGTATATTTTTGCACATTCAGAAAGGCTGGTCTTTTCTCTTCCTAATAATGTATAACAAGTTATGTTTTCTTAGAAAACTATCAGAGTTATAACTCTTTGAAGCATCTACTGCATATTAGGATGTTATCCTGAAATGCTGAATTACCGTATATTGAGTATAAATCTGATGCAGATTTATGATGAGTTCATTTGCTTTTTCAGTCAAAGTAAACATTTTTTCAACTCGAAGAAAGTACAAATGCTCGACAATCTTTATTTGACACATCTAATCTGGCATTTCATGTGTTGTGATCAGGATTTCCAAAGACGACATTGGTTACATTGCAAAATCTCATTAAACCATTCCACATGCAGTAATTGTTTCAAACAGTTATAACTCTGATAGTTTTCTGAGAAAACATAACTTGTTATACATTGTTAGAAAGAGAAAAGACCAGTCTTTCTGAATGTGCAAAAATATACAGGGTGATTCAATGAAATAAAAAAGTTGCCCTATACCTGAATAATGGCTAGTTTGTTTCCGGTAGAACCGGATGTTCAAGGGAGAAGGTGAACCTGTCGAAATTAACTTGAAAAATATCAAAATAGACTAGTCCAAACTGCACAACGATAACTTGAATGGTTTCAGAGATATAAGCATTTGCAATGGGTCAGAATATAACTGGTCACCCGGTATATCGGGTGACACTGACTCATGGTATAACCCTCTTTTCTCCTTTGTTTTTCTAGCTATATCTCTGATAGTTGGAACATCGAATATGCTCATTAGAGGGCAATTTCTCACATTTTAGGAAATTTTTTAATCCCGGTTCTGGAAATGACATCAACTTTCGATTTTCAAATGGAACACGCTATATTTCATTTCATAATTGGTTAGAAATTCTTATAACGAATTCAACGATACCGGGTTAAATTGGGTTATTTCCAACGATTACGAAGATATTTGCGTTCGAAGTTTCCATATGATCAATGAGGGTGATATTTCGCCGTCACACCTATTGAGCTTATGGAAACTTCGAACCTTAATACCTTCCTAATCATTTGAAATTACCAAATCAAATAACTCCTTATAATAATGTCTAACCGATTATGGAATAACATACAGGGTGTTGCATTTGGAAATCGAAAATTGATGTCATTTCCACGAAAACTGGAAGATGAAAAAAAAAATCCTAAAATTTGAAAAAGTGAGCATATTCGATGCTCCAAATTTCAGTTATATAGCTAGAAAAACAAAGGAGAAAAGGGGGACATACTATGAGTCTGTGTGTGGTATTTTGGGCCAATTTTGTTCCATCCATTTGCAGAACAGACTAAAAAATGAAACATTATCATCACATGATATGCAAAGCAAAATTATCATGGGGAAAGAGAAATCAATTGTAAAAAATACATAATGAAAGTGATATATCATTGAATGGCGTTTTCAATACCGACCAAACTAGCTATAAGTGTATCCATATGTGTCTATTTCGTTGTATTAAAATGTTGTTACATGCATTATTTTTATTTTTATAACTGTTGTTCTGCGAAAAGTGCCGTATCGCTATAAATTGAAGTGGATGTATACCTTAATTCTATTTTCCATCTACGGCTATGATTGATTTGACAGGAAATCTAACCTCTGAAATCGTATCTGACAATCAGTCACTCTTGCTCATATCATGGGTTGCGTGCAAGAGCTGTCAGATGACCGACCCTGGAGGCACAACATTGAAACACAACCTCACTTTTCTTATTTGTTTACAAGTGATCGAAATAGTTTTTCCGAGAGTTTTTCACAATTATTTTGGCATACGAATAGTATTTTTCCGCTATTCATCAATTCGCTCATGCCATACATTATGCTGTTGTGAAATGCACAAAAACTGCAGCGGAAGACGAAGTAATCCGGTTGGTACATTATGATTTAAAAGTAAGTACCTACTATAGTCACTCACATATAGTTTTCATTTTGAAATTTGGTAATTTCTCTGATTTCTCATCGGAATTCCTTCTGCGATAGGAGCTAATAGAAATACACCTGAAATTTCTAAAATAATGCAAGAAGATTGGATTCATGCAATCAATCGTGAGGACTGGTCTGACATGCTGACGATCGTGTGTGTTGTAGACATTTTCAATCTATTAGCAGTATTAGCTTGTATTGCAGAAGTGGCAGAAGGCAGAAGGAATTTTAATAAGGAATGACAACATTTCATAATGATAACTATGTGAGATTTCTATTTACCTGAAAAATCATATTCTTTAGTATCTTGCTGCATTTTTTGTGCATTGTACAACAGCACAATGCGAAGGCATGCTCGAATTAATGAATAGCGCAAAAAACACGATTCGTATGCCAAAATATTGTGAAAAACTATTTCAATCCTTTGATTCCTCTGTAACCAAATGAAAAAGTGAGGTTGTGTTTCAATAATTCACAGAAGAATGAGGTTGTGTTTCAATATTTTGCCTCCAGGGTGCGTCATCGTACACGCGACCTATACCATGGGTTGCGTGCAAGAGCTGTCAGATGACCGACTCTGGAGGTGAAACATTGAAACACAACCTCACTTTTCTTATTTGTTTACAAGTGATTGAAATAGTTTTCCCAATTATTTTGGCATATGAATCGTGTTTTTCGGCAATTCATTAAATCGGGCATGCCATCACATTGTGCTGTTGTAAAATGCACAAAAAATGCAGCGGGGGACGAAGAAATCCGGTTGGTACATTATGATTCAAAAGTAAGTACCTACTATAGTCACATATAGTTTTAATTTTGGGAATTTGGTAATTTTTCTGATTCCTCATCGGAAATTTCTAAAAGAATGCATGAAGATTGGATTCATGCAATCAAACGGGAGGACTGGTCTGACATGCTGACGAAATATGATCATGTGTGTAGACATTTTCAATCTTGTAGCAGTATTAGCTTCTATTGCAAAAGCGGCATAAGGAATTTCAGTAAGTAATGACAAAATTTCATAATGAAAACTATGTGAGATTACTATTTACCTGAAAAATCATGTTCCTTCGTCTCTCGCTGCATTTTTGTTCATTGTACAACAGCACAATGCGCAGGCTTGCTTGAATTGATGAATAGAGAAAAAAATACGATTCGTATGCCAAAATATTGTGAAAAATTATTTCAATCCTTTGATTTCTCTGTAATCAAATAAAAAAAGTAAGGTTGTGTTTCAATGTTTCACAGAAGAGTGAGGTTGTGTTTCAATATTTCACCTCCAGGGTCGGTCATCGTGCACGCGACCTATAGAAAATAGAATAGGAGAGAAGTTCAGCTGCGTCCGATTTCTTATCTATCTAATACCATCCAGTGACTCTAGTATAAAGAAAATCGAATTTTCGTGGTCAGGTGCAGAAGCAGGGCCCGTACAGGCCGCACCGCAGCAAGATGGCGCTGCTGGGCGAGGTGTGCGGCGAGGACCACCCCACGCTGTGGCTGCTGCCCTGCTGGGCCGCCCCCCGCAAGGCGGAGCCGCCCCTCGTCGACTACGAGGTTTGAGGGGGCGGCCGGGCGGCTACTCTTGTTGATCTCTCGTTGTCTTCTTCCACGTATGGGGTTTGATCGTCCGTTTTTGTGCTGAATTTTGACTGAAATGATGTAGGGATTTTCTCCGAGGGATTCTGTTTTTTGAAAATTTGACGTTTTGTTTTGCGCGAAGCGCTGAATGCCCAACAAAAAATTGCATTTTTCTTCATCAATATAGAAGTTCAGTCAGAGATGAGTTACTCTTCTCTGGTTCAGCTAGCGTGTTCTAGGGTTCCTTGATGTAAATTGACGTATTTGTCATCTTAACAGGGTACGGACAGATCCTCGTCTCCTCTCACTCTAAAGTGTTTGTGAAACAGTAATATAGTTCCATCTTTATGCATTTCTGGGGATAAACACTAGATTTCTGACATTTGTTGTTTTTTAGGTTATATTGAGGACATTGGCGTATCATACGTAATTTCCTATTCAACTCTACATATTATATCCAAATAATGATGATAATTTTCGAGTTTTTGATTTTTCAACTCCAGCATAATATTTGTGGGACAGTGAGCAAATTTTTCTGAAAGTTTAATACTTTTTACCAAATGGGACTGTTCTTAGGCAGTACCTATCAATAAATGAATTTTGATTTCAGACTAAGCCTTATGGTTGAGAAATGGTGAAAAATGTCATGTAGGTATTTAAACGAATGTGCTCATATGTCATGTGTGCTGTATATATTCATGTTGGGAATCATTTTTGCAGTTTTTCACGAACACTGTAGGTATGATTTTTTAAATGGTAGGGCATATGCCTCTTCTTTTAATCCTCCGTTTTAATTTAAACTGTTTCTACTAAAATGCATTCAAAAACTTGTGGAGTGAATAATTATAGGCACAATGAGAAAGTATAATATGTGATTTCGTATTAGTTTTACCTTGTATATTTTGCTGATGTATTTCCCCATTCCGTCACTTCACTTTCCATGTTCTAAGTTCATTTGCATTTGATGAAAATCTGACAAATTCAAATTTTCCATCCAACTGATTGATACAGCCTAACGCAGCACAATTTACCATTCTTCCAAAACAGAATTGAATAATGTCGTATTGAGATCAAGTATGAAATTAGAATTTTGTAAGATCTCTTTTAACGCCTAGGAATGTGACGTGACAGCAATGTCATGTCAGGGACGCCAACACACGAAACCAAAGTCACTAGATGATTGAAAAAGAAAGGAGCTATGATCTGTCCGTACCCTGTTAGATGACAAATACGTCAGTTTGCATCAAGGGACCCTAGCGTGTTCCAACCTGAAATTATGACATATTTATGTTGGCAACACTGAAAATGGGAACAAATGGAGAAGATGATCATATCAATCTCAATATAAAAAAGGTTAGAATGGTCTTCTTCTCTATTTCTTCTCATTTTCAGTGTTGCCAACATACAATTTTCATTATATTACGTTGGAACACTGAAGACAAGGATAGATGGGGAAGACTAGTGTGAGTAGATTAAATAGTGACGACAAAAAATGGCTGCAGTTTCCGGAATGTCATTCGTGGTCAAGTCACTAAATAGCTGAAAATCTGGAAGGGTATCTCCCATGCAGCAATGAATTTGTGCCTTCGAAGTGTCCACCTGATGTTAGGTTTAGATATTTGATATGTTCATTTCATCATCTAAATAATCTGAGACGTCCCAAAAGACTGATTCTAATTGTACTGACGTAGAGTTTCATATCTGATTGTTGGATGTTTTGTGCCCAAAGAGCAAAAAACAGAGACAAAGCATTGACAAAGTGAAATAGAATGCGTAGAACTGAATGGAGAAAAAGTAAGGGGAATGCACCTCCATATTAAAGGTCTGACCAATCAAAAAGTGTACCACTATTGTCGTCATTCCATTTATAAAGTCACTCTAGGGAAGACATATTTTTTCTCTCAAAGCTAGCTGACCTCTATTCTGAAATATTTCTGACTTCAAAATAATGACTTAATGAGAGAATTATGACTTATAATAACTCAGAATGTCGATTGTCGTACGTCAGAAAACTGACTTGCTGTTCAAAATTCTGGCATAAATCTAAGAATTCTGAATTGAAAGTCAGATTCTGACTAAAATGCTAATTAATGTTTTTTTGGGCAATACACAGTCCTCTCAAAATTTTGACAACAAAAGTATACAATTTTTTATTCCAAATTCGGATTCCTTGAGAAATTTGACATTATTTCAGTTAAAATGAAGATAAGTATTCTGCCCCACTTGAATATTTCAAGTTGGTTAGATAAAAGAAATATTCTAGTTCATTGCTTGAAATGAAACAACATGAAAAGCAAACATTGTTTTGAAGTGGGACAGAATTGAAAGTACTGGGTGAACCAAACTTGATGGTTGCTGGATAGGAGAATCCAAAAATAATATTCTCAGTAAAATAGTAATTTATGTACTAAGGATGCAAAACTGTCTATTATAGTCGAGTCTGCTGATTGATAGTCCAGGCCTTAGATGCCAGACAATAGACAGTTTTTCGCCGAGGTGCATATTCAATTTTTTCATCGACCTCAAATACTTATATCCACATCACGGTCCTATATTCACACGTGAAATCTATCGGATTTCGTGAATAATTAATTTGAAAACAGCAAATGACAGTTGTTGTCAACTCACTCTCTGCGCGGACCAGGGTTGCCAGTTCGATTTTTATTTCATCAGATCTATTTTATGCTATACGAATTCCAAGAAAGGATAATGAGATAAACCTATGACATCACAACATTATGTACTCTTGGTAAACAGAAAATGAACTATTTACAACAAAATAGAAACAAACAAAACAAACATTCTCATGAAAAAATATTCATACACCTAATTCTCGATTTCAAAATACTCACAAATACCAAAAAATACAGTTACATAGGTACTTATAAGATTTGAGTTTACAAAAAACAGGAACAGATAGTTAAAATTAATCAACAAAAATATAAAAATTAAATGTAAGAAACAAACTGGAAGTAACATTTTCAATAAATAAAATAAATAAATAAGGGATTGTCCCTTTTTTGGTTTATACATATCATTAGTGGATATGTAAATCTATAAGTGTATGTGATTAACTGAAGGCTAATAACAATATAGGTAATTATAATAATAAAGAAGTTTCAACATACTCTTCAGTAGGTTATGAAATGTTCCAGTAGATCAATATGCAAATCAGGAGATTTACTGAAAATTCAGTAGAACTGGCAACCCTGTAGCGGACGAAAAGTTAGTGTCTGCGGACGAGAACTACTTGCCTTCGGAAATAGTCGGTTTTTCGTTCGGAAATCAGAATAAAAAATGCGATTTTTTGTAGAGGTCGATAAAAAAAAAGATTATTGAAGATATTATGCCATTATTTCTACAGGAGTTTTATAGAGACAACAGTACTTGAGTTCAAAGATTGAAAATATGTACCATCGAAATTGGTAAACCCTGTATGTATATACTGTGAAAGAAACATGATCTCAATTCCATTTTTGCATTGCACATCTACCATCTTTTTTTATTATTTCGCAAATAAATAATATGTTTTCATGTTTTCTTGCCAAATCTGACAAAACGTAAAAGCTTCAATGTGTTATTATTCTTTCAAATACCCTGTAGGGGAAACCTCTTTATTCTTCATCACAATCATTTTTCCTTATGCTGCTAGTCTTGAAAAATTATTCATATTGAATGTTTGCCTTTGTAGAAATTTATGGAGTTGTATTTTATTATATACTTTTATCTACCAAACAAAGATATTGCTTGGATTAATTTTGGACAGATCAATATATTTAGCTAGAATTCTGTTGAATTTTTAATTTATTTTTCAATATTATTTGTTATTTTTGAATAGAAATGTATCATAAATACTGTCTTTCATTGGGGTTGGGGGGAGGAGGCGGGGGGGATTAAGACACCCCTAAACACTAACAATATTTTTTTTATTCTTAGATCTTATACAATAAAAATACATTCTTTTCCTGTCACATTCGCAAATTGACCCCTTGAATTATCATCTTTTCGACTTTCAAGAAAGCCAGGCTCGCATTCAATCATCATACAGCTGACAATCAATATAAAATCGTATATATTACAATTGAAATAATCTATGATAAGTCCTTTCGTTCACGTTAACGATACAATCGAGTCAAATCTTTTAAAGCGTGTGTCACAGATTTTGAGGTGTTCGACCTGAAAAAAATAACAAATAAGAGCAACTTAGAATTGCATGTGTTTCTACTAGCCAATAGATGTGAAACAAATAAAATACAAATACAAAATCTTTATTTCCACCGACCGAAATACATCGGTATAGGCATTGTCAAGGTCAGAAAATATATAAAACCTAATACTAGAATAGAACAATAGTAGAATAAAATGGGACATAGCAAAATGACATTATATGTTATACTTGCAGTGATAACATCACTAACATAACATTATCTAGATACATTAAACATGTTAGAATTGGTGGTAATTTTGCACTTATCATGCGATGGGTTTTTTTTGGAAATTTTGTTTTGGTACTTACGTATTTTTGTCTGAAAAACACGAATTTGATAATGAAAATGTTTTCTATGATATAAATCACCACTTTTGCCGACCTGAAATGAAAGCTCCCACCTAGTGATGAATAATCAAAATGATGGGCGTATCAAAATATTTGTAGAAAGGGTTGTAAAAACCGGAATTTTAAATTTTCTTCCATACCATCAGGAGGAAAAAAATTCGACTCAGGTGGCGAGCCCATTTTTTTTGTCGAAAGGGGATTGAAATTAATAAAAAATAGGAATTTCGACGGACGATAGCAATCGCGACTCCTGATACGCTTGATGTTTTTTCTGGACATGTAATAAGGAATTTTGAAATTTTTCCCGACACAATTTGAGAGGAAATAAAAAAAACTATTAGTGGCGTGCCCAATTTTTTCTGAGCCCACAAAATGACATATTGGAAATTCCAAATTCTCGCAAAATCAGTGATGTGACTTGTTTTTTTTAAACGATAGTGGTTTGAGATGGATACTCTCGACGAACGATAGAGATCACGATTTCTGAGACACCCATTTTTTTTTCTGCCCATATTCATTTTTTTGATAAGGAAAAAATACTTTCGAGAGGAATTGAGAAAAATCTAGGTAAGTGATGTGCCCAATTTTTTTCTGGATGCTAAAAATATAATATCAGAAATTTCAAATTCAGTGTATTTTATAAATGAGTGAAATAATCCCGATAAATATGTGCACAGGTTAACGTTTTTCAACTTCCCTTCATTACATTCTAGCGAAAGAGGGTAAAATTCTACAATACTGGAAAGGCCTCTGCTTACCTGGTGATGGACGAGTGGATGCCGGTGAGCTGGTGCGGTGTTGCCGTCACGATGCCCGCATGCCCGTGCTTCGGCAACGACTCCAACCCCCGCGCCAGCCATTCCCCCGTCTTCTCCCTATCGAAGTCTAGCAGCTGCACGAACACGTCCGCCACCTCGCTCAGCATGTACGAGTGCAAATAGAAGACGCACGAGTGCACTAAGTTTGATACTAGCTGTTGGCCGTATTCGTCCAGAATGCGGCGGACTAGGGCTTGTCGTTCTTCGTAGTCCGCTCGGCTCTTGTCGCTCTGGCCCTAAATCAGGAGGAAAGCATCGTTAAAGTCACTTGGGACACCGAACAAAATTCTACCACGCATCGGCAAATCCAGGAATAAAAGCTGTCTCCGAAAGATTGTTAGATTGTTCATAGGGAAACGGTGGCGTGAATGGCCCTTGTCGCTCTGCCCCTAAACAGGGATAATGTTACGTTTCTAGCCTTTGCAGTCAGTTGGAACTCCAAAAAAACATGTTAACCGACCAAGCGTCGGCAAATCCAAAAATTGAAACTGTTTCCGAAAGATTCTTAGATTGTTCATACGGAAACGGTGGCTTGAATTGAATTACGCTCGGCTCTTGTCGCTCTGCCCCTAAACAGGGAGAATGTTACGCTTTTAGTCATTGCAAAGTCAGTTGGGACTCCGAAAAAGCATGTTAACCGACCACGCGAAGGCAAATCCAAAAATCGAAACTGTTTCCGAAAGATTCTTAGATTTTGAATGGTATAACGCATCATTCATAACGACCACTAAATATGGTGGGCTATTTGGTTTTTTGAAGGTATTTCAAAGTCCAGCAGCTGCACAAACACGTCCGCCACCTCGATCAGCATGTACGAGTGCAAATAGAAGACGCACGAGTGCACTAAGTTTGATACTAGCTGTTGGCCGTATTCGTCCAGAAGCGACCGACTAGGGTTTGTCGTTCCTCGTAGTCCGCTTGGCTTTTGTCGCTCTGGCCCTAAGTCAGGAATAACGTGTCGTTATGGTCTTTGCAAAGCTGTTTCCGAAAAACTCTTAGATTGTTCATACGGAAACGGTCAACAGAGTCTGCCGCTCCTCGTAGTCTGCTTGGCTCTTGTCGCTCAGGCCCTAAACCAGGGAAGACGTGTTGATTAAGTATTTGCAAAGTCACTTGAGACACCGAAAAATCATGTTAACAGGCCTCGCGTCGGCAAATCCACGAGCGAAAACTGTTTCCGAAAGATTCTTAGATTCTGCATACGGAAACGGTGACGGGAATACTATGACGCATCATCCATAACGATCACTTATGTCGCTGAAAGCTATCGAAATCCAACAGCTGCACGAACACGTAGGCCACCTCGTTCAGCATATACTAGTGCGAATAGATACACTAAGTTTGATACTAACTGTTGGCCGTATTCGTCCAGAATGCGGCGGACTAGGGCTTGTCGTTCTTCGTAGTCCGCTCGGCTCTTGTTGCTCTGGCCCTAAATCAGGGAGAAAGTATCGTTACAGTCACTTGGGAACCGAAAAAAATTCTACCACGCATTGGCAAATCCAGAAATAAAAGCTGTTTCCGAAATATTCTTACATTGTTCATAAGGAAACGGTGGTGTCTTGTCGCTCTGCCCATAAACAGGGACAATGTTACGCTTCTGGTCTTTGCAAAGTCAGTTGGGACTCCGAAAAAACACACAATTTTAATGTTTTTCGCGTTTTTTGACCTGAGACGGTCCTGCTATGACGCAGCAAACTTCAGATTCGCTTCTGGACCACTCGACACATATGATCCCGGATTCATGTTTTCGAAAAAATACTATTTGATCGGACTATAAGTAAAATGTATCAACGAAGAAACTCCTTGGGATCAGTTGAAAATGGCGCAGTCGGTAGGTTGCCTCAAGATAAAAAAATGCCCCGCTCACCTGATTGACGAGATCGTAGAAGAACTTCATGACGGACATGTTGGCCTCCTTGTGGTCGAGCGTGGAGGCCAGCAGCGCACACTGCAGGATGTGCACCAGGGAGGAGCACTGCAGGAAGGCGGTGGGTGTGCGCTGCATGAAGCGCGCGCACAGCCGGAAGAAGTCGTCGACGGTGTCGGGGTGCTGACGCAAACCGTTCTCTTCTTGCAGCACCTGGAAATGGCGAGAGCGATTGGACAAAGGTTATCGGTAAAAGAAATCGATTTCGAAATTCAATAAATTACCAGATGTTATCAAAAACAGCCCAAATATTATACAATTCAAAAATAAAGTGAAAAAAATATATTCTGATGGTGACATAGCTGACAGACTATGAATTTCCTTATTTTTCTCTTCACTGTTTTTTTTCACTCCCTTCTTGTTCACTATATGAGTACTGTAATTTCAAATGTTAAGTTTTGTACACTATTTGTAATTTCAATTATACCAACAGTCGATAATTCTTAAATGATCAATGAACTTATACCACTAATTACTATCTGATTATTCATATCATTCCTACTAGAAAATTAATTAGACTATGTATTATTTGTATAAAATTAGTGAAGAAAAAGGCAATAACTGAAATAAAAATAAATGAAACCTACTCAATTTCAATTTTAATACCATATTTGGAAGGGAATTATGATTTTTCAAAGAGGTTAGTACCCAGCGTCCTCGGACGAGGACGGTATTTTACTCGAATATTTAAAGAGAGGCAGCAATAATTCTGGTATTCACATGTTTTCCACACAAAATATTCTTAGCAATGATGAAAAATTCAAATTGAATATTTGTATTGTTTTCCGAAATGTTCTGATTTCAATCATAAACTTGAGTTATGATTGTCTGCTCACCGACTCGAAATATGTCTGCCTGTCAGTGGCGCTAGTCGAATATTCGTCAATATGGACAATAATTTAAGGTTGAAGTTTTCTTCTTCTTTCTTCCATTTTTTTGTCTGTACCTAAACCTTACCAGAGATAGGGAATTATTTCTGACTGTTTCAACTTCAAACGGACCGACGATGCGTGACGTATGTTTTTGCTGGAGCTGCTCCAATTGACTTTGGAAGAACTGCACTTAAGAGTCCTAAGAATCAGAAATATCCATGATCGAGAACTTGAATATGTAGTTTTCGATTTTTAAACCAGTCCCAGCGTCCTCGAACGAGGACAGCACTCTTCTCGAATATACGAAGATATCAAACATTTCGATATACACACGTTTTCTACGTCAAAATACATCCATAACCAAAAAATGAAGTCGAAATTCGGAGATTCCCCTGAAAATTGAATTTTTGAACCGGTTTGTCTGAGCGTCCTCAAACGAGGACAGCACTTTTTTTCGACTATACGAAGAAAGACAGCGAATATTTCAAAATTCCAATGATTTCTACGTCGAAATACTCTTATAATTGAACAATAAAGTGGAAAGTCACCTGGAAAGTGGGCTCAAAAAACGCCTGCAACATATCCAACAGCCCCTTTACGCACGCCGCGCAATTGCATATTTGATTTTTTTGTATTCCTCTATAAACATGTATGTTTCTTGGGATCAATGAATGTTATTATTATCAACTTGAAATGTACAGAGTGACCCATTTGAAAGCGGACCACCCTCATACGTTACACCTTTCCCCCTCTACATTTAAAAAAATCTTGAAAATCGCTCCATGAATAAAATATTTATGAGGGAGGCCTGTGGGTTACTCTGTCTATTCCTTCGTATTTTCAAACCAGTATGTCTTCAACGAGAACAGTATTTTTTTTCTGAATATGCGAAGACATTTTGGTATTCACACGTTTTCCACATCGAACATCACTCCCAGCGTCCTCATACGAGGACAGCATTTTCTTCGATTATGCGAAGAATGGCAGTGTTTATTTCAGCTTTCAAATGATTTCTACACCAAAATACACCTATAATCAAACAATAAAGAGAAATATAGTGAGCATTTACCTGAAAAGTGGGCTCCAAAAAGGCCTGCAGCATATCCAACAGCCCCCTTACGCACGCCGCATCAGCCGCATATTCGTCCACCAAAATACTACCGACGTAGAGGAAACAAGAGTGCTTGTAGAGCCCGTAGATGCGCACCATCTGGCCGACGAGCTGGTCGAGCAGCTCGCGCGCCCTCTGGCTGACGCAGCGCAGCATGAAGCGCACCGAGCGGCAACACCGCTCCATGATGCGCAGATCGCTCTGGTATTTGTCGAAGGTGCGCGAGAGGACGGGCCACACTTCGAGGACGACGGGTTTGCAGGGGTGCGGCTCGCCTGGAAGATGAATTAACGTGAGGGTCGCTAACGTGATAATAATAATAATAATAATAATAAAATAAGTTTATTCAAAAACGTTTACAAAATATACATTGGAACATACATCAGATAGGTATTTTGAATAAACTGGGTAATATCGTTTGGAATTTTATTATATACGTAAGGAATTAACAATTTATAATTTCTACGTCCAATTGACTTGTTTGTTTTATATTTCAATGTTGTTATTTTCATTTCTTATGTCACAGATATGTTCTTTGATAGGCGGGTGACTATTTTTTTTGTTTTTTGAATGGAATCATCACTCTAATACTCAATTCCATATTTTTTAGAATTTTTTGGTCAATTTTAAGGTGCTAAAATCATCAAACGGCTAGAAATTGACCGCGAGTAAAAACTGACGTCACGATTTCGTAGGACGGATCACAGCACAGTTGCCATATGTTGAAATACGATTGGGAACTTCTGAAATATTAGTTATTCAATAACTCATAAATTCTCAAATACGTATTGGTAATATTCCTAATTAGCAATAAAAAATCAATTGTCTCAAAATTTTCCCACATGTGATGTGACTTATTGTTTATAATAAATTTGTGTAAATAGTAATTATATTAATTCACACCATAGGACTTTTGAACCGGTAAACGTGACAACACGGCTCACGAATTGTGGGCGTTGTCTTGTCAATTCTCAGCATTCAGCGCAATGTTGACAAGTCTCCAACATTTACATGATAACTTCCCATGGAGTATAAAAAATACTTGGACATGCTGATTGTTCGAAAAAGTCAAGAAGGAACTGTAATATAATTATTTCATTGCATCGACGACAGGACTAACATCTTTTTGACAATTTGTTTCTTTAAAGGAACTAATAACAAAGTTAGTATTTTTATTTGCCAAATTTCAAAATTGCCGAATTTCCGATTGCAAAACATTCATATAGTTCAACGTACAATTTTAAACCATTTTCTTTTAAGGGGGTCAAAAATAAATAATTCGAATTAAAAAATCGACCTTCTCTAACGTTGACGGGAACGCAGCACAAGTCAGGGGCGTACCAATTTTTAAAAATAAAAAATTCAAACAACTGTTCATCGACCTTCTCACGTTGACGTTCACGTGCCCCAACACCAAAGACAGCCTGTCAAGCCACAGGACGGGATTGAGCTGCATGAGGCACAGCTCGCGCGTCAAAAAATGTCGCAATTTTGATGGAGAGAACTAAAGTTAAAACTTCAGAGGCGTACCCATTTTTTTTCTAAGGGGGTCCAAAAAATCAAATTCCTCCGAGAACTTTGAGAAAACCTACACCCACGTTCTCTGCCGCAACACAATAAGAATTAGGGGCGTACACATTTTTTTCTAAGGGGGTCAATGATGAAAATTCAAAATAAATATCCTGAAAATCGAAAATACCTTCTCTGACGTTGACGTTCTGCCGTAACACCGAAGACAGCCTGTCGAGTCAGAGGACGGGATTCAGCTGCATGAGGCACAGCTTTATTATCAACAAATGTCACAATTTCGATGGAGAATACTAAAGTTACAACTTCAGAAGCGTACCCAATGTTTTTCTAGCGGGGTCGAAAATAAAAAAATCTCAATTTCTCCTTACCTTTTCTTACGTTGCCGGGAACGCAGCACAATAAGTCAGGGGCGTACCCAATATTTTTTCTAAGGGGTCAAAAATAAAAAAATCAAAATCCTCCGGAAAATAATAAAAAAACGTTCACCAACCTTCTCTGACGTTGACGTTGACGTGCCGCAACACCGAAGACAGCCTGTCGAGCCAGAGGACGGGGTCGGTGCGCGCCCCCCGCACAGGCACCGTGTCCCCGTCTATGAGCTGACAGACGGGGTTGAGCTGCATGAGGCACAGCTCGCGCATCGCTCGGGTGGTCTCGGCCGGTGTCGGCATGCGGCCCACTATCGAAGCCACGCCTTTGAGGAGTCCGATGACGGCGTTGTTGGTGATGGCGAACGTGTCCACCTGTTGCAGCAGCTGGAAAAAAGGAGAAACGTAGTGAGAGGTTCGTTTTGTCGTATTGTTGTCTAGAATAACCTAGAATTCTTATGGATCCGGCTCGAAGGACCAATAAATGTTGTGTAAGCGTTGAATCCCTTACACGTAAATTCTGAAGAGGAAAAAATGAGGGAGCTAAGAGAAACATGGAATGTATTCAACAATTTTATGGGTTTGTGAAGTTTTTTCCAGTTCTCACTCACTTGCAGCAGAATAGGCACGTGCCTGGGCATGTGCTCATTACACGTGGCGCAAATATTTTGCAACGCGACGGCGACCGCCGCCCCGACGCCCTGCTGCGACAGACAGCACACCAGAAAGTTGAGAACGGGGTCAAGGGAAAACTCAATCATTTGGAATCATTAAAAATCAACAAACGCAACAATCGTTACATTCTACTTGACGATAAACTAGACCTCAATAATTAACCGCTGTCGAATTTGGCTCGAAGGACCAATAAATGTTGTGTAAGCATTGAATCCCTTACATGTATATTCTCAGGAGAAAAAAATTGACAGGAGGCAAAACTGAAGAAGCTAAGAGAAACATATCATGTTTCTAACAATTTCATGGGTTTGTTAAGTTTTTTCCAGTTCTCACTCACCTGCAGCAGAATAGGCACGTGCCTAGGCATATGCTCGTTACACGTGGCGCAAATATTCTGCAACGCAACGGCGGCCGCCGCCCCGACGCCCTGCTGCGACAGACAGCACACCAGGAAGTTGAGAACGGGGTCGAGGGTGTCAGGGTGCTTCTCGATCCACTCGCACAACTCACCAAGCAGCAGCACCGACGTGTACTTCACGGCCAGGTGGGTGGTTTCGGGCACGTTAAGGATGGCCTCGACCACTTTTGGCACCACCTCGTTTTCGGTCCTGAAAAAGTCAAGATTTCCAACAACAAAAATCAATTTGATGCGAAGAAAGTAAAATTTAAATCAAAATGTGGAATGTAAGCAAAGCAGATCATAGATTGTGAGTCAAAAGTGAAATGTTCTGTTAGTAAATTGTGAAACAAAAAACAGAATATGAAATCATAAGTGAACTAAAAAAAAAATACATAGGGGATACACAAAAAGTGAAATAGCTATACATTTGGAATGTAAAAAAAAACTAAATGTGAAGCAGAAAGTCAAAAAAATGTGAATGAGAAGGTGAGCAAACAATTGAATTGTGAAGCAGAAAATGTAATGTGAGGCAAAGAGAATAGAAAAGAAAACTAAAGGAACGCCTATTTATGGAAAACCAAACTAAAAAGAAGAAAGTATTACCACCTCTATAATCACTACACACTTTTATCTTTTTGTTTTATTTTCTACCCCTTTTCTGTTTGACCATCTATAAAAGGGTGTTTCTTTAGTTTTTTGCACTACTATTCATTTTCTATTTTTCAGTTCGGCTAAATACGAAAGAGTGTTTTTTTAAGTGTTCTGTTATTTTCTGTAAGTGCCCAATTTTTACGAAAACAATTTCCAATTTTGACGAATGTATCATAACTTCCGACCCCGAAAACTCTGCCATCTCGAATTTCAAAATTTGACGATAGAATCATAATCTCCGATCCCGAAAACCTCCAGATACGAATTTTGAATAGATTCGGATCATAATTACAAAACTCGTCAGCAATATTGGATCTGCCATCTTGAATTTTCAAATTTTGTTGAAATAATCATAATTTCCGATCACAAAAACCCCTAGATACAAATTTTGAATAGATTCGGATCATAATTACAAAACACGTCCACCATATTGGAACCGCCATCTTGAATTACAAATTTTTACGGAAGAATCCTTATCTCCGATCCCGAAAACCCCCAGATACAAATTTAGAACAAATTTAGATCATAATTACAAAAGTCGTCAGCCATATAGGATCCGCCATCTTGAATTTTCAAAATTTAATGAAAAAATCATAGTCTCCAATCCCGAAAACCCCTGGATACAAATTTTGAATAGATTCGGATCATAATTACAAAACACGTCCGCCATATTGGATCCGCCATCTTGAATTCACCAATTTTGCTGACAGAATCATAATCTCCGACTTCGAAAGCCCCCAGATACCTATTCTGAATACAATCGGATAATAATTACAAAACTCGCCCGCCATTTTGTTTCTTGTATTACAAAAATTTCATGATGCATCGCCACCAGAACTATGTACACCTGAAAAATTTCAAATCAATTGGTCCGTAAGTGGGTCGAAATCGAGTACAAAGGAGTCGGTTACATACATACATACAGGTGATAATGAAAGAGTGTTGAAAAGAAAACAATAAGCAAAACACAAAGCAAAAAAAAATAAAAACGTCCGATCTTACGGTAACACGTTCTTGGCCACAGCCTGCATGATGAACAGCGAAGCCTCGCTGGCGTCCCACGTGACGCCGCTCGCCTGCAAATTAACGAACATCTGGCGGAAGCAGCTGCTGCTGCCCACAATGAACACAACGTCCTTGATCAGGTCTGACACTTTGCCTCGGAAGTCCTTGAAGTCGTCGCCATCTTCGAGCAGCCCGTCGCAGTCCGGTTCCATCTGGCAATGGCGGCAGAGAGCTGTCACTAGTCGCTCGACGTAGGGCCGGAAGAGCTCGGTCAGTTCTTTGTTGTTCTTCTGGTAGAGCTCCTCGCTGAGCACGTACCACAGGTTGAATGTGATTTCGGCCACCTATAATAAAAATAATAATAATTGTTTAGTTTATATGTTGTGATAAAGAAGGATTACAATTCGAATATCTTGACGGTTTACCTCACTTCAGGCCAACCGATATCCGAGAGGTGGAACCAAAGGAAGGCGGAGCCAAAGGAAGTCGGGGTCAAAGGTAGGCGAGGCCTTAGGAGAAGGGTGAAGCCTTAAGGGGCGGAGCTTGGCGTGGGAACATACGGAGTGGGAGGATCTCTGGAGGTGTGACTTCGAAGTGATTAGCTGTGTAATTTTTTCTAGAGCCTCACCTCGTAATCGTGATGTCCAATATCTTGACGGTTTAACCTTACTTCAGACCAACCGAGACCCGAGAGGTGGAGCCAAAGGAAATCGGGGCCAAAGGAAGGCGGGGCCTAAGAGGGAGGGTGAAGCCTTAAGGGGCGGAGCTTGATAAGGAGTGGGAGGGGGAGGATCTCCGGAGGTGTGATTTCGTAGTGGTGTTATTTTTTATAGAGCCTCTCCTCGTGATCGTGATGTCCGACGCATATACACACCAAATCCAATATCTTGACGGTTTAACCCTACTTCAGACCAACCGAGAGCCGAGCGGTGGAGCCAAAGGAAGGCGGGGCAAAAGGAAGTCGGGGTCAAATATAGGCGGGGCCTTAGAGGGAGGGTGAAGCCTAAAGGGGCGGAGCTTGGAGTGGAAAAATACGGAGTGGGAGGATCTCTGCAGGTGTGACTTCAAAGTGATTGGCTGTGTTGTTTTTTCTAGAGCCTCCCCTCGTGATCGTGATGTCTGACACATATCCACACCAAATCCAATATCTTGACGGTTTAACCTTACTTCAGACTAACCGAGAGTCGAGAGGTGGAGCCAAAGGAAGGCGGAGTCAAATATAGGCGAGGCCTTAGGGGAGGATGAAACCTTAAGGGGCGGAGCTTGGAGTGGGAAAATACGGAGTGGGAGGATCTCTGCAGGTGTGACTTCAAAGTGATTGGCTGTGTTGTTTTTTCTAGAGCCTCACCTTGTGATCGTGTTGTCTGACACATATCCACATCAAATTCAACATCTTGACGGTTTAACCTTACTTCAGACTAACCGAGAGCCGAGAGGTGGGGCCAAAGGAAGGCGGGGTCAACGAAAGGCGGGGCCTTAGGGAAGGATGAAGCCTTAAGAGGCGCAGATTGGAGTGGGAGGATCTCTGGAGGTGTGACTTTGAAGTGTGATTGGCTGTGTTATTCTTTCTAGAGCCTCCCTCACCTCGTAATCGTGATGCCCGACGCACATCAACACCAAATCCAATATCTTGACGGCATAGTGCGTCTGATTGTGGCCGCTGTTCGATATGATCTTCTCCAGGAAGCTTTCCGCCAACTCAGTGAACAGACGACAGTAGTCCATCGACTTGCCCTGGTCCTCGTTGGCCACCGACAGATGGTAGGGCACGTCGAGGTTGACGATGTTGTTGAACAGGTAGTTCTCGAGCACCATCTGGTTGTTGTTGTCTTCGAGGCAGAGGAGGAGGGTGCACACGCAGTCGGTGGCCGCCTCGTGGAAGGCTCCGGCTAAGGTGCGCTTGTCTTCCTGGGGCTTGAAGTTGAGGATCTCGAACGCCCTGGGACGGAAGTGGGTACGTTTTGTGAAATGGGGAAGACCACTGAGGGATGAAATCCGTCCAAACCTCTTACGATCGCTGAATCATGACTTACATTCGATCTACGATCAATATTCGGAGTTGAATGGAATAGAATCTATAGCGTTTTGATATCGGCCTATTTCATTGAATATTTCACAAAGCCAGATATGAAGGTGGAGCTGTGACGTATTAGTCCCAAACCGTAGCTATTTCACTCTGATACCTTGCCATTTTGCAGTGTGATTGGTCGGCTCAAGGACAATAGGCGTGTTGGGACTAATACGTCAAACCAGTCACACCACTGAATTGACACCCTTTCAGCACAGGAAGTGTGTGTTTTGAAATGAACATATTTTTTATTTTTAATTTTTTTATCATCCTAGCATGAATGAAAACAAATATTTACTGGTAGCTTTTTGGAATGGAGATCATGATGATGTTGCTTTAAAGATACAGTGGTTTCTCCCATTACCAGTGGACAGAGGATCAATTTGAGAAAGGATCACTTTGAGAAACAACTAGGCGGAAGTGGTTCTTGCCCAGGCAAGGATATATATATTTTTTCCTTCTACTCCAAAATATGAGGATGGCTATTCTTGAAGCAGAACACACAGAAATTTTTGATTGATACTTTTTTGCTGTGATTCATCTATGAACTTCCAATGTGCATATTATATCCATAACCACCTTTTTCCTTCCTGTCATAGACTTTTGGAGGACATTTTTCAACTTCTGCTCCATAGCAAGTTTGAAACTTACCTTTTGACAATATTTATCTCAAAATGTCAACTAGAGCCACATAAGGAGACATTTTTGAAGAGAGAAGGATATTGAGAAACTACTTTGGGTTCTTTCTATTATAAACAAAAATGTTTCTCTGGGTAATGAAGACAAATCAATCAATTCTTCCTTTAATTATAGGAGATTTGTTCTCTGGGTCAATAAATCTTTTATGATTAGTTGATCCTTTACAAAACCAGATATATTAGTACCAGATTTTAGTCAATAATACCTCCTTATAAATGAAATAGACAAAAAATTATGTAAGTCTACATTACTCATACTTTCTAAATAGTAATTCAATAGGAGTATGTATTTCTTTCATGCAATAAAAGAAATATGCATTTCTTTCATACAACAAAAGATATTCACATTATGGAGTTTGAAGACCTGAAAAAATGTTTTCTTAAATAATGCTAACAGATATTCCTAGTAATACCATTATGATACAAAAATTAGTTGACAGTGGAAACAGAGGCAGAACGTTTTTTTCTTGAATTAAAGTTCCAATTTTATTAAACTTTCACTAGGAATATCTGTTAGCATTATTTAAGAAAACATTTTTTCCTTCAGAACTAAGTAAAACATGAAATTTTCACAAGAGTAATGAAATTATTCAGTCAGGTTTAAAAAAATTGAGAACCCTATTACCACCCCTAAGAATGTTCTGAAAAAAATTCAGGGAGTGAGGGTGGCTTCAACCCTTCTACAATTTTTTTTTTAGGATTCTTTGATTACTGAAAGGAGGGTTATCCTCTGAAATGCACTTTTGTCAAATTTCATCCAATTTGTTTCACTCATTTTTGAACAGCATACAAAAATGTGTTTTTTTTTATGTTAACTATGAACTTGTCTCATGGACAAAAGGTACATTTTTTTATACAAATAAGTTGGGTCCAATCAACTTATTTTCAACTGTATTTCACGTGGTAGCTCTGTATCCCAGCAATTTTGGGACACCTTATATTGTATCAATTTAACTATTTTCTTTATATACCTGTTTACCTTGAATTTTATTAGATATTCAATTTGTAAAATTGTTTTGTGTCCTTTTCTTGCGATCCATAAATATTATTATTATTAAAAGTTATTGAAGTTGAAAGGAGTCATTGGAATTAACTCCTAAAATATATTTGAGAAATTTATGTTCAATCATGCCAACTAATTTTCATAAAGCTATCAATTCAACAACTATCATTTCATTCTTGAAATATAATCCTGATGCTGAGCATGTTTACCTATTGATGACAACATTTTCTGCAAGATCATTGAGACGAATGGCTCCCACAGAGACCCAGGATGTGAAGCAACGCAAAATCTTGACATTGATTTGGACATGGTCCTGCCAATTATTGCTGTAGAGGTTGGAACAGTGCTTGAGGAACTCATTGACTGTGGGTGCACAGATTTTCATGTCTTCCAGCACTTCTAATCTTCTATTTTCACCTAACCTGTGGAATAATTTAGAACTTTAATTTGTGAGTACTTCTTTTGATTTCAAATTTACTGGAAATCAACCTGTGAATACCATATAATGAAGTCATATGAATAATTGAAAAAATTAAAATACATTTGTTTTATCCATTTTAAACAAAGAGATGAATGTATCAGGAATGTATAATATTCATTTCTGCCCTTGTAAATATAGAACTTACCTAACAGATCTACTCTCTAATTCCTCTGGAAATACAGTTAAAATCTCCAGGAGTGGCCAAATGTTATTCTGTGAAAACCTATTAATCAGATCAAGCATAGGATTTTGCCATGAAGGCATTTGAAGTGCTAAATCTGCCAAAGCAACACACAACTGAGTAACTATAACAGTGCTAGTGGCATCATTAATTTGATTAATATGATCTAACAGGGAATCCCTGAGGGAGTTGTGGACTTCTTGGGGCAGCTCATGGAAAGACTGGTGGATTTTTGTTCTCATAGTTTGAGCTGCAAAATAACATGACTCTATGTCTCTTTTGAGATGCAATAGTTCGTCTGCTACTGTCCAGGCATGGACCTGAAATGAAACAAGGACTAGAAGTGCATTACAGTGGAGTTTGAGATGCACTTACGGATTTCTGGAGTTCCAAAAGCCATTGGGAAGCTCTTTCTTTCTCACTCCTGTCTGGATTGTTGTAGAGCGCCGATACCGCCGATATTACCAAATCTAATGCAGGCTTCTGCTCCATAATAATTAAAATCAAACAAAAACTATTTAAAACTATATTTGATCACAATTTTTCGTAAAAGAATACATTATTTATAAACTCGTATTGTCAAAACCTCAAAAACCGAAATGAAAGAATCAGTTATGTTTATGTAATTATGTTGGCAATGGTAATGACAACATTGGCAACGATTCGATGTTGGTAAAAGTGCTTGTCAAAGTGGTTTGGTGAGAGTTCTGCGACCTCTGTGTGATCAGAGTGCCTTGATAAATTTGATACTATGCCATTTCGTGTTAATTCAATAGTTATTAGAAACTTAAAAAGTAGAAGAGGTGGAAAGAAGAAAGGGACCACAAAGGTGTTCTATTTTTATTTAGTCCGCGAAAAAGTTATTAAATTCGTTAGTGTTTAAATTCAATTATTAGTGTGATTTTGTTTTACTAATGAGTGTGGTGTGAACGATGTTCCTAGCAGACCCCGTATTGTTCAGCTTGTCTCTACTTGATACAGGAGCGATATTATTCCTCTTGATCTACTTTGTATCCTTTTTTGTACCAACAAATGAAAATTCTTTCAAATAATGATGTTGAGCTTCAGATTCCTTAATTCAGCATTAGGTGATTGTACTGTCTGATTTGGAATGCGACTATCTGAACGCCCAGGAATGTTGTTCTCGACTCAACATTTGGGTCTATCCTAAACTCATTGCCCATGTTTTCCTGAACTCTCTACTATTTGTTCATGGACATTGGGTGCTGTTCTTCATTAATCTTCCTGTAACTTGCTGGATGGCTTATGAGGTCATCAATGTGCCAAAGGGTAATATGGGCATATATGATCCCACTGAAATTCACAATAGAGGGCAGCTGAAAAGACACATGAGAGACTGTATGGTATTTCTGGGATTTTATCTGATACTATTTTTCATATACTTGTACTGGTGAGTAGATTATTTTCATTAATATTACATATATTTCACAATTCAGTCCCAAAAATTAAAATTCAATTCTGAGCAACTTTTTGCTAATTGCCAATAGACTGAATCACTAGTTTTTCCAGCCAACAGCCAAAGTGTCCTTAGAAGCTGTAGAAAATGTGTTGAGGTGGATACACTATTAGTAGAACTCAAATCCAATAGAATTCAAATTACAATAATATTTCATCAAAATTTATTTTGTTTCAGCATGATTTCTTCTTTGTTAAAAGGTGATCCAATTAATCGAATAGATGAAGGTGAAATAATTAATGAGATGTAGAGACTGATACATATCTTGATTGATACTAGTCATGAATCCATTTCATTTTTAACATCATAACATCATATTTTACTTCATTGTTTGATGACTAAGTATATCTCTGTCAGCTGTGAATATGTTAAGTATATGTATGTATATCTGTAACTATAATACTCAATTTGTGTAGCTTCCATGAATATATTTTCAATTAAAATAGAAGAGAGAAAATAGAAATTTTGATGTGGTACTCAAAATATTCAAGCTGAATGAAAAAAAAAAAAGAATAACTGAAATTGTCTATTTTCCTCACAACAACCCATCTTTATTGCAATCTACAAATAGTCTGATTAAAATGATGTTTCTATGACATGCAAATGATCCCTATGAATTTGTGAATGCCTATACATTTGGTGTTTCAAAGAAAACCCCTTTGAACACACAGGACACATAAAAGGTTTCACCTCCAGGTGGATGGCTTCATGGTTCTTCAAGACATGTCTCTGATTGAAACTCTTCGGACACTTCTCACACTGAAATGGCTTCTTATCAGAATGCACAGCCACATGGACCTTCAATTCTTTTCTTTTAGCAAAGCATTCAGTGCAGCTAGGACACTGGAATGGTCTGAGCTCATCATGGTCTTTCTTGTGTTCTATGAGTTCAGTTCTTGTCATGAACCTAGCAGAGCAATAAGGGCAACTGTAGTGCTTGTCCCCAGATTCTGTGTGGATTTTCAAGTGCCTTCTGAAGGTTTCCTTGACTCTGAACTGCCTTGGGCACACTGTGCAGGAGTACAGTTTGTCTGCAGTGTGGAGTTTCATGTGTTTCTTCAAAGGGTTCCTTCCCACAAAGGTCATAGGACAATATGAGCACTGCAGAGACTTTTCTCCAGTGTGGATCTTTTGGTGAGCAATCAGCTGGCTCTTCCAGTAAAATCCATTTAGGCACACTGGGCACTGAAACCTGGTTTCAGTGCTATGGACACCCAGTATATGCTTTTTCAACTCTGCTTTGCGATAAAAACATCTGCTGCAGTTTTCACACTCAAATGGCCTTTCACCCTTATGTACTCTTTCATGATCTGTTAGATGGAGCTTCTGGAGGAAGCCTTTGGAGCATATTTGGCATACAAATGGTCTGTTATTGGTGTGCTGTCCAATCAGGTGCTTCTTCAGGCAGCTTTTGTAGCCAAATGTTTTCAAGCATATTTTACATGAGAAGGGCTTTGCATCTGTGTGCATTTTGTTGTGGACATTTAGGGTGCTCTTCCAGTAGAAACTTTTAGTAGGACACTGTGGGCATTGATAACGTTTTCTCTTGGAGTGTATTAATGAGTGATTCTGAAGGTATGACTTCTTAGAGAATCTTTTTGAACAAATGGGGCATTTGAATTTTTTCTGTTCATCTTTATTTCCTTTAGACTTGTCCAACCATTTTTTCTTGTAATGTGAAGATATTAGATGTTTTTGAAAGGTACTCTTTGAACACAGAATGGTTGTACAGGCTGGGCATTTGAATTTTATCTGTTTGACACTATGGAATCTGTAATGATATAGGAATTCTTTCTTCCTTAGGAATGTTTTTCCACAAAACCTGCAGGTTGGGATTGTATTATGAAAATGCTTGTCCAGATGTTTGTTTTTTGTTGATTTAATTATACTTTTACCACAAACTTCACATTTACACAGAAAAATCTTTCTCACAAATGTTTTGCTATAAATATTCTTTGGCTTTGTTCTAATAGATCTATCATTTTCAGAATAATATTCTTTTAAATTATCTAATTCCTGTTTTATCTCTACCTTGACTTCAGGTTCATTAATTCTAATAGATACTGTCCCTTCAAATTCTTCAGGAAAGGGCTCTGTTTTGATATTAATATATTCCATTTCAAGCATTTGCTGCCCATAATGAGGAATGATACTGTTTTCTTCAGAGTTTTCAATTTTAATATTATTTTCAAGTTCACCAAGAAACTGTGCTTCCGAATTCATTCTTCACTATTCATTTTGAGTGTCAGGATGTCTCATATTTGGATTTCAGAATTTTTTTGAATTTGTTTTCCGAATTCTTTGGATATTTTTATTATTATTTGTTATTTTCTGCTTATATTTTGTTGACTTTTACGATTTTGATTTCTGCGTCAACGTCAACTAAATCCTTCGATTTTCTTCTGTGCTTATAATATTTTCACTCGGTCCGTAAGGGTTTTCATTTCTTGCAAGAAAAAGAAACTGCTCAAATGTGCTAGGTACGTTAGAGCCAAAGTCTAATGTATTCAGAAGATGAATAACAAATGAGAATGAGAAAAAAAGGCATAGAAAAGAAGAAGAAGAATCATAGAAATTGTCAGTGACGTCACATTGGGACATTTAATTTGAAAAATTCAAATTGGCCCTTCACCGGCCCTACCACAGCACACTATCTTTGCTACCACACCACATGACCAAACCTATATTCTTTGACCAAAAGCTGAAAGATGGTCCATGAGTGGTTAACCTTTGGATTTTCGTGATAAACTCATCAGAGACTGATAAAAATTTATAATTATAATGTTCAAAACGGGTATGTTTAGTTTCTGAGAAATGAATTATTCTACAACTGATATTGGGTTGCCAATGCAAAATGATCACCGAATTTATATTCAAGACAAATATGGCCTCATTTCGCCCTGGCATGATATTCCACTGTATGCCAATCCTTCCAAAACGGTATTCAACATGGTGGTGAAAGCTCAAAGATTCACAAATGCAAATTTTGAAATAAGCCTGAAAGAACCCCTGAATCCCATCAAACAAGTATCTCAAGGAGGAGTACCAAAGTTTATACCAAATTGCTTTCCATATCATGGGTTTTTATGGAACTATGGGATTTTACCACAAACGTATGAGTTCTCTGGACAATCAGCTGGTAACACTAGATGCAGAGGCATGGACCCTATAGATGTGCTAGAAATAGGACAGAGAGGTGCACAAACAGGCGAAATATTGACCGTGAAAATATTGGGAGCCCTAGCACTGGTTGATCTTGATGAATTACAGTATGATTGGCAACTTATTGCTATTGATAAAAGAGACCCACTGGCTGATTGTTTGAATGACATTTGTGATATAGAGAAATATTTGCCTGGTTTACTTCAGGCCACCATGGACTGGTTCACAGTTCATAAAGTTCCATTAGGCAAACCCATGAATTCATTTGGTCCTGGTGGGGGGCTGAAACCTGCTAGTTTTGCATATGATATCATACATGAAGTTCATAATTGTTGGAAGCTTATTGTTTCAAGGACAATTCAAACTGATGAAGTAGCACTTGTAAACACTACATTAGAGGGTAGTGTGTTCAAAATATCTAGAAGTGATGCCAAAGAAATATTTCATAACAAAATGATTCAGTGTACTGATGATGTCAAAGACATTATTGATGCTTCTTTTACTGATAAAGTGTACTTTATTGATAGGTATAGTGGTAGTAGTTATGGCAGTAAATTATAATATAGTAATATAGAGTAATTTTGCAATCATTTTTTCCAAAATATTTGTTGAACATTCAGTTTCTGATGCCTATGAAGATGTCAATGCCATATTGTAAGTTGTATGACCTTTGTTGTAAGACCTTTGTTGTATGATAAATCCCAAAGGAAAACCGGAAAAACGTTCACAAAAAATTAAACACCAGCTCACATAGCTGGTAGCCACTGACATCTAGATTGAATGGATTGAAAATAAGCATACGCCACCTATCAGAGTTTTCGAAGGTCATATCACATTTGTGGTCATCATCAAAACACTGCCCAGAAGTTTTTGCCGTCAGATAGAGCTACTCTACAAAATCATCATCAATTCTACCAACCTTGTTTTTTTTATGGTGAATATACCTAAATTAGGGTGCCCTGCTATTTTTTACTACAGTCTGAATTCTTTGAAATATTAGGAGTATTGGGAAAGAGTTTTTTTCTATGGTCTGCTGTCACAGCCATCAGCCATCCAAAAACAGTAATAGTAGTAATAATAGTTTATATAAATTATCGTAGCATCGTAGAGGCCGTTGATATAGTTTTTTCATGTGCCGGTATCTGCTTATGATCTTATACCAAGCATTGAAGGTATTACTGAATGTCGTATAGTTTGATTTCAATAAGTGGAAAGCGACAAATCAATAAAATGTATCAACTGTCACTATACGATGCTAGTGATGCTACGATCATTCATAAATACCCAGTATGTTTGATGAATGGATTGAAAAGGCGGCTGAAAAAAGAAAAAAAAATTGCAGCTGTGCATGTCTCGATCGTAACAGTTTAAATACATGTAGAACACTACAAAATAAGTTGGGTTTGCTCAATAAAAAAATGTAAGGGCATCCGTTTTCAAGATACAAGGTGTTGAAAAAATGTTTTTTTCACACATTCTTCACGATATTATGTCGAAACTACTGGCAACATTGTTATGAAATTTTGTATGGATGTGTTTTGGAAGCTGACAGATCGCATAAATTTTTTTATCTGCAATAAGAAATATAGAGTCCTGCGTATTCGTGGAAACGGAGGACCTTTTGAGGACACTTATACTCTGATTCCATATTTATGTTTTTGTCAAATTTTTCTCAATTTTCTACTTGTGTTTCTTTGTTCAATCAATAACTTCAGCACAAGAATAATGTTATATTGTTTTTGAATCTGAATGAATAGGTAGAGTTGATCTCAATAAAATTATTACTCCAATATTTTCAAAGCAAAATACTGCGAAATTGGTACACACAGTATAGAGTTTTATGAAGAGTGCCTTTTTGTTGTAACTATCCCAGCCAACCATGAGATGTATAAGTGATGTATACGCTACATCACTTTGTGAATGCGATATCGCATTTGAAGTCACAAACATGCTACCGATACAACGTGGCGATGTGAAAATGTCCGACTCAAGCAACATCACTGTGACGTCGTTCAGACATGAAATGCGACATCACATGCAAAATCACCACCAGGTCACATACAAGTGTACATTTCATATTACAAATACATCACACTGCGACATCGATGATGTGGTCGCCGTACCTGCTGTGATATTCGTGGGATATATTGTTCACGCTGAATTCCCTTTTACGTTTGGCAACATCGCTTTTGGTTTTTTTGAAAGAGTTAACGCTCCGCTGAAATTTAGGCAGTCAATAGAAATTAAAATTGAACGGCGGTCGGTATTTTCTTGATAAACATAGATTTTCGAAGATCGATTAAACTGGTGGCAAATTCAAAGTGCTTTAGATTAATTTTATACGAGTGCACAAAAAAAGAGAGAAAGAAGAACAATCACCTCCTAAATTTGAATCCTATTTTTTCTTCCTGACCTATCCTTCATTTTTCAACCTAGTGATTGATGCAAGAAGAAGAAAACCAACACAGGATCAATAATTTTCGGGTGAGTCGTACTTTACAGTCATACAGTCCACTTATATCAAGTCAGTTGTGTAATTTTCGAAGGAACATTTGGACCTTCGAGCCAGATATCAGTGAAATTCACATTCTAAGAACCTCGAAACTTTTTTTGCGAAGTACTTTTTTTATTTCGAAGTTCAGCAGCAAGCACAAAAACTAGAGCGACTAGCTCAGCCGGTTGGTATGATTTTGTGCGGTGTTGTCGGATTGCTTAAAACAGCGGAGTTTTAAGAAATTTATTTATTTATTTATTCAGCAGTAGAATAATTGAGTTTTTTCACATCTTCGAATCGGCTTATATGCATGTCAATATATATTATTGTTTTCTTTTGTTTTGGTAAAACCGCAAAGGCTGTTGCCAAGTTGTGTTCGGGTTGTCATTCAAATTTTCGGAAATTTAATTCAGATAAGGCATATCAAGTTTCTTATTGTTTAAGGTTAATTTTCAAAATGGGCACTACGGCAGAAAGGCAATTCAAAATGCTCGTAGCAAAAAAGGAAGCTTTATATTCAATTTTACAGAGTCTTTATGATTGTTCAAAATCGCTGACATCTGAAAGGAATATTAGGAAATTTCAGACTTTGTATACTAATTTGGATAGTACCAGAGATATGCTTTTGTTGGTGTTAGATGAAATCAACATTATCCAGTTTGAAATAAAAGAAAATTTTATACCTGATTACCAGGTGCTTATAACCATAAATGAGCTTTGCTGTCACATAAAAGAAGCTGCTCGCGAGTTGGAAAGATCCCAAGCGGTAGCGGCATCACAACAAAATCCACCTCCTCCGGGTCCGGCACCGGTAGTAATAGAAAGGTTACCTCAATTACCTAAAATTGAATTACCTGAATTTTCCGGAGAAGTACGGCAATGGGAAACTTTTCATTCATTGTATAAAAGTATTATTCATGATAATACCTCGTTAACAAAGCTTGATAAGATTCATTATTTGGTAGGACGACTACGAGGGTCAGCGTTAGGGGTAGTTGCGGGTATTTCCATCACGGGTGATAATTATGATATTGTTTACAAAGCTCTCACGGATAAATATGAGAACAAACGGGTTTTGGCTAACAGTTATTTGCAACAAATTTTTTATTTCAAACCTTTACAAGAAGAATCGGAGAAAAATCTGTGTACTTTTTTGGAACAATTTGACGTTGCAGTATCTGCGTTGAAGAAATTACCGATAAATGATTTAGCGGATTTCATTATATTATACCAGGCATTGTCAAAACTTGATAACGAAACGGTTCGGGCATTTGAAATGAAGCACAGTGATTCGGGAAAAACGCTCACTTATGCTGATTTGGTTAGTTTTGTACAGGGTCATGCACAAGTTTTGAATATGAATAAACCTTCGACTTCATCGGGAATTAGGGGCATGAAAAAATCCTTCATGGTGACGCAACCTAGGTATAGCAATAATAATACTAAATATAATAATTGTATCTTATGTAAGCGGTCAGGACACTATTTAGGCAAGTGCGAAAAATTCAAATCCATATCTTCGGTTAAGCGTTATGAGACTGTGAGAGACAATGGATGGTGTTTCAATTGTTTGTCGGCTAACCATGGTGTAAGAAGTTGTCCTTCGGAAAGGACATGTACAGTGTGTGGCAAAAAACATCATGTTTTATTGCATACGGGAAAAACGGAATTAGCTAATGAAAGTAATAGAGATCAGCCTACAGTTAAAGGCCCAGAGAGTGAAGGGGAAGGGACGGCTAATAATCAGACAAACAATGTTCTCTTTTGTTCTAATGAACCGTTGTCAAGAATGAGTTTGGGGCATACTCATTATACTTCCTTACTTTCTACAGTTGTAGTTTCAATAGTGAATAGCTCGATTCCTAATAGCACTGCGAGATTTATTTTAGATTCAGGTAGTCAGGCGAATTTGTTGACCGTCGACTGTTGCAAGAAGTTGAATTTGAAAATTATTAAACATTTCTCATCGGTTCAAGGATTAGGCGGTAGTAATCAAATGGTTAAAGGAATGACTAATTTGACGGTAGCTTCACGGTATGATCCAGATTCAAAATATTCATTCAAGGCCTTTTTGGTAGGAAAAATCACGGATGATTTGCCAAAGTTCAAGGTTGATGTAAGAGTTATTCCAAATATACAAATGATTCCATTGGCGGATAATGATTTCGATAAGCCCGGCGAAATTCATGGAATTATTGGGGTAGACATTTTTGCGAGGATTTTGGGACAGGACCGTATTGTAGGTATCTCAGGTTCTCCAGTAGCGGCATTCGGATATGTCGTCATGGGGCAGGTTCCAATTCTAAAATCAATTCCGGTATTTTTCACGCTCGCACAGGAGCAATCGATTGAGCACTTGTTAAATAAATTCTGGGAAATAGAACAAGTACCAAACCGATTAATGTCGGATCCTGACGACGCGGAAAGTGAAAGAATGTTTCTTGAGACCTATAGTAGGGATGCATCAGGGCGTTTTACGGTAGCGTTGCCATTTAAATTACCACCCGAAAGTTTGGGGGATTCGTATCACAATGCACGAATCAGATTATTATCTTTGGAAAGAAGGTTAGGTCGAGATGCTGACCTACGTGTGGAATACAATAAGGCAATGCAGGACTTCATAGAACAAGGCCATATGGGTCTAGTAGAACAGGATCATGGTGAATTATCTTATTATATTGCTCATCACCCCATACTCAAGGCGAGTAGCACTAGTACGCCCCTGCGAGTCGTGTTGGATGCGAGCGCCCCTTCGGATAGTGACGTGTCACTAAATGACATTTTACACGGCGGTACAAAACTACAAGCGGATTTATTCACCTTATTATTAAATTTTCGGTTATTCAAAATCGCAATGACAGCTGATATTCGGAAAATGTATCGACAAATCAAGGTCACCTCTGACCACTGGCGGTACCAACGACTTTTATGGCGGTTTGATCCCCAAGGGGAAATCCAAACCTATGAAATCCGGGTTTTGGCTTTCGGGTTGAAGTGTTCTCCATTTTTAGCATTATCTACAGTAAAACAATTGATCAAAGAAGAGTCAGAAAAGTTTCCACTAGCCGCAAGATATATATCACGTGATCTATACATGGATGATTGCTGTTTCAGTATAAATTCAGAGAAGGAAGCTAGGCAAT